ATGGACTGTGGTTTGTGTGAGTGGAGATTAAAGGGGAAGCAATGATACCTGCTAAAATAACACAGTCTGAATGAGTGGCAAAATAATGCAGTCTGAATGAGTGCTTTAATCTGTTGTCCTTTTAGGTGACTAGGAATGGAATTAACTGAAATTTGTACTTTTATAGTTACAGTTTCAACTAAGAATAGCTGTTACTGAACAAAAGTTACAAAGCTTCAACATTTCCACTGTAATTTTCTTTTGGATTCACTCAGCAGTCAATGTCTCCATATCAGCTTTTTAAGATCTCAAGTTGTAATCACTGAGGTGTAATAGTTACACAGTAATGAATATTTTCATTTTTGATGAATATTTAAAATCAGTAGTTTCATGACCTGATAAAACAAATGTTTTCATTCTACTGGAAAGGGCAGCTGATACAACAGCATCCATCCTTATAAAGTAGGATAAAATCATGTTTATAAAGTAGGACAGACTAATGAAAAAGAAAGGTATTTAGATGCAGTTTTACCTTTCTGCTTCGAGTAGCTGAGGTATTTACTTCAGTGAAATAGGTGTGATTTATTAAGGGCATGAAGTTATTTTTTCTTGGAGGAAAAGATAAGCTGTTAGAGTGGCTTCCTCTGCCGCTCCCTTTTCCACATCGGAAACCTGCAGGATTACAAGGGAGGGACTTAGTCAAATCTGATTCCCAGACACTTGATTTATAATTTATTTAGTGTTGGTGCAAGTGCCAAGCTGTGTGCTTTGGGAGCCAGGACTCCCTATATCCGGAACCAGACCTAATGATCATTTGTATCATAGGGAAGAGCGATTTGTGGGATTTCTATCGTGAAGAGCTGGGGACTGAGCCGTTTTCAAGGCTGGGCTGGCAAGGCATTAGATTTATCTCAACATCTCCCATATTGTGTTGCAGGGGAGGAGGAGGAGAAGGAGGGAGAAGAATGCGAGTGGATGTGTAGATAACAGCCCTGCTGAGCTCCCCAGTTTTTGTGAGAGGTGGCCGTGATCCCCACAGGGATGTGTCCGCTCGCTGCTTTATGGGTGCGAAGCCTCAGCGGAATTGCGAAGGTGGCTTTCTGTGAACATGTTGCTGTAGTTTGACAGGAGGCTTTAAGAGGTTGGGGGAGGACTGAATTACACATGAGTGTTTCAGGAGGTAAATTCTAGAGGCCCCTGAGTTTTACTTGCCAGTCAGTTGGAGTTTATCAGCCCTTTTTCTTCTGTAAAAATAAGCAAAGGTAAGGAAAAAAACAGTCTTGATTTAATCAGGATCAAGTGCATTGTTTTAAGATGAGGCAGGAAAGAAGTAAAGGAGCTCAGTAGTGGAGAGGTCCCTCCCTGGGCTTCAGTGTGGCAGACTGAGAGAATTCAATCTGGAGGCGTCGAAGCCGTGGGCCTCAGACCCGCGTTTGGATCAGGGTGGGGGGCCTGCTTTTCTCCCCTGCCTTCAGTGTTCAGTTGGAGCAGGTGAAACGGACACAGGTCATTGAGGAGCCTTCTCCTTTCTGAACAGATGAAACTCTGACTGCACTGTGTGCACTGCGATAGCGATGCCCTCTGTGTGCTTCTTGAGGCCCCCTGAGTGACACGGATGGCAGTACCCTGCTCTGGGAGCTTCCCCAGACAGACCGTGGGGCAGGAAGTGCTGGGAATGACTCCTTGTAGTGTTTTCTAAGAAACTGCAGAAGAAGAAATGGTAAAGTTGAAAAAAGCCTCAGAGGAGAGAGGTTCAAATTTGAGGGAGAACTTTATTTGGAGAAGACCCGATCTTCAGTCCGAGGGAGACCTCGGCTGCTCCTGAGGGGACTGGAACTGACTTGGTTGGTAGCGTAGCAGTAAATTGCATGCCATGAAAGGCTTTTCCGAAGGGAGGTGGGTGTCAGCGAGGCACAAGTAAAGGAAGGGTAAAGAAATATCACCCAAATCTGCCAAATAAGTGTTGGACAGAGCTGTACCTGTGGCTTGGTAGAGCTGCACTTCCAGGCTGGGTGAAAGGCATTTTATTGTAATGTAGCCCTGTGCTCTAATATCTTAAAGCTGGAATCCTTTGTTTGTCTCATGGCCTGTTTGAGACATGAATCACTGTTTCTTCTGGTCGTTAGTAAAACAAAACTTAATTTGGCCTGGGCACTGTACAGATGAAACATGATTGGTAATGCTGTATACATTCACTTCTGATGACTTTATAAATACCAGATGAAATCATGTTTCTTCCTCCCAGACAAGGCAGAGTGCAGCATGCACTCTTTAATGAAAGTCAGTCTAGCTGGTTGCTGGATGCCCTCTATAATGCTGGTCTCAGGGAGTATGGTTTCGTGTGAGCAGATAAAACTGTTCATTCTGAGCTAGTTACTTGTTTAATTCCCTAATTCATTGGTAATTCATCATTTATGTTCACAGCAGAGATTCATAAAAGGAAAGTCCTTCCCCTTCCTGCCCCCCCCCCCAAAAAAAAAAATCCAATTATGGTTAATAGGATGACTTCTCCAATCTCTCATCCTCTAAGAAGAGAGATGTGTAATGAATTCTGTAACTTGAACTGGACCTGGATAAATATTTAATCTTTTTAGGATGTTCTTCATCTTGGCTATTAGCAAACCCAAGTATTTCTCAAAATGAACAAAAGATTGGATTTTCAGCTAGTTAAAAACCCTTCTCTCTCTGTTGTTCTCTCTTTACTGGCTGTCATATTGAGTGTGTGGTAGCCATGGTCTTGTGAGATAGACAGGATGCAAATATATGAGGAGTAAACAGCTGTTTTTCCTTTGTTTTTGCTGATGGTTTTTAACAACCATTTTAAGCAAGAAAAGCAGGTAGAAATGCAGGAAGTCCTGTCATTTGCTTTCTTTTCAAGCAACCCTTCCTTTTGTCTTTTGATGCCAGCTTATGCATATGTTTATTTTCTGATGGATAATATAGTTATACTTTTTGGTACAGAGCAAGGTGAAATTTTGAGAGACACCAACTCTCTACGCGAAGTCGAACCCGGCCCGAGAGGTTAAAACGTCTTCAGCTCTCTCCTGAGGAGCCCTGGGCTTGAAATTCATTTTTAATAGCACCTCTCATGCAAGCAGTAGGCCGGGATGGTAAGGTAGCAGGCGTTTTCGCAGGATTCCTGTACCCTTCCTGAATGTTTCGTGGGCAGGCAAAAGGCAGGCTGCCAGCTCCGAAGGGTGGGAGAACCGCTTGGAGCTCCTGCTAGGGCTCCGTGCAGGAGCCGGCTTAATTAGAGAGATCTGCATATCGGCTGTGTCTCTGCAGCTGCCTCCAGCGGGCCCACGGATAGTCCTCCCAGCCACATTCCCAGCAGGAAAGGAGGAGATTGTGGGCTGCGCGGATTAGCGGTAGCAGGCAGTTTGGAAGAGAGGGCAAGGCCAACTGGAAGGAATTAGGGAAGGAATCTCCCTGTGGGGCGAAAGGCCCAGCAGGGTGAAAAGAACAGTAAATGTTTAATGTCAATAAAATAACCTGTCGAGCGTGAAACTCTGGTTTAAGAGCTCTCTGCTATCCAGACGGCTTCCCACAATTTGCTCTGGAAAACTTGAGGGCTGTGGTACTAGGGAAGGGAGGCGGGAGCCGTGAGGGGAGCCGCTTCCCCTTGAGGGGCAGAGTTGTTGCCGGAGAGGGTGAAGCCCCTGTTCCCGAAGAGGACTGCTGCTCCAAAACCTGCTGCTTGCTGGGAGGAGAGGGGCTTCCAGAGTGAGAACTCGCTCCTTAGGAGGAGACGAGACAAAAAAGAACGGAGAGAAAAAAAAAAACAGCTTTATAAAGTGAGATCAGCGTAGATATGATTCATGCGGTAAGAGGAGAGGGAGAGGGCCTGGCTAGCACAGCAGGAAAGCGCTTCCCGAGGGAAGAAAGCAAGGAGATAAGAGAAGAGCCAGAGCCTCTGCAGAGTCTCTCTCCGTAGGATTTGGCAGTCAGTTCCCCTCCTTGGGGGCCGTCGTCCCAGGGGAACGGTGCAGAGGAGCACAGCAAGCAAACTGTGCAGCAGAGACCTGAAATGGTGAGGCTGTGGCTACTGCGGCTGAAGAGGGGGCTCATCTGTAGGCCGCTTAAGCCATCTGTCTCCTTTTTCTTTTTTGTTCCTGCCACCTTTCTATTTGCCTGTCCAGAATTGAAATGCAGAAAGCCTGCAGATGGTCACCATTAATTTTGTCACTTGATGCACTTTTTAAAGCTTTTCTGTCAACCTTTTAAAAGCAGATGTGTGTCTGTTTAAAAAAAAAAAAAAAAAACTTTTGATCTTTTGGTAGCTGAACCAGCTAGAGGAGATCCTTTTGGAGATCTTTTTGGATTTTGATTTTAGTCTTTAGTGGCTGAGATTGAATTTTGGCATTTCTTTTAAGCCAAGTCTCTCTCGTAGCTGTATCAAAATTTTGTATAGACCCTGAGAAATCACTTCATAGTGTGGTTTCTTTGGAACTTTAGCAATTGTTTAATGGCAAAATATTTTCTATGCATACCTGGTTCTAGGTAGTTTTTTTTTGCGATTCCTGGATACTAGCATTAGGTTGGATGAATTTGGGCTAGGGTTTTTCAAAAATCATCCTCTGCGTGGGAAAGCCCAGCCTTTCTAATGCTTAAGGAAGCCACAGGAATGCGGACAGAACTCTGGAATTTTAGGTTTAGGAACTACATGCACAGATTTGACACCATAGTTAATATCAAATTATCAAATCAGTGTGCATGGCCTCTTAAACTGATAGAAGAAGGACAATCAGTTTTTTTGCAGCCTCTACATTAAACTTAAGAGTGTTGTTTCCAAACATCTTTCAACGTATTTCTTTATGAATTGTATCTGTAAAGTTTTGCACAAGAAAAGCTAGGTTTGGTCTATTCTACGTATTTTTAAAAATGGTCTCAGAATATATTTCTGAAAGCAATTTGTTTTGGTTACTTTATTTGCAGGTCATAATTTATCTGGTTCACTCGACTTAGCTTTTTTTTAGCTGTCCCTAGACAACAAATAAGATGTCAAACAGAAGTAACCTCCTTTCGGAAGGTTGGATCGGGTAATCAATGAATAAAAATGAAGTTTGTTTGTCTTAGATGTTTCTGAATGCGTTGTCTTTGGTCCTTCGATTCTGCTGGCGCTGAGATAAGATCAGTGCTCTGCTCTTACTGCATGTTCAACTCATTTTGTAAGTGAAAAGGAGGCCACAGTGGTGGTATCTGGGTACACTGTGCCCAGTCAAGCCGTCCGTGCCGCATCAGGTTGGAGTACGTGTTGAAGACCCTCCGATCAGGGAAGGAATTCAGGAAGAGTTCAGGAAAGTAAGATAAGAAAGGGAAGGGATGAACAAGAACTAGGGTGGAGGGGAAGGGAAGCATTCGCTACCTTCAGATGGGCTGGCTCCTGCCCTCCCCATGCGGAGCTCCCCGGGCAGCGTCAGCTGGAGCCCATAACAAATCCGGCTACTTTCATAAAGTTGCATCCCAAGCATTAACTTTAGCAAAACAAGCAAGCTCTGGTTTGTGGGAAGAAGTTAAGGTTCAGTTAAACATGTGCTGTAGTCCAGTTGGGGCTTAACCTTATGATTGTGGGCACTGCGGCGTCAGAACCAGAAACACAGGAATTGGCACAAGGTATAGGATACAAAGAGTTGAGTTGGGGTGACTGTATGAAGGTATTGCGACCTTTTCTTGCTGTACTTGTTTGGATGTGAAGTACGACGAACCCTTCCTTGCCGTGGAAGAAGCCTGAAAGTTTCCATGAGCTCACTTGGTGCTTGGCAAAGCATTTAGCCTTCACAGGATTAAATGTGTCCTAATGGTATTGCAAGGGAGTAATAAACAATTATTAAGGCTCCATTAATTAATGTGTCTGCTGAGCTGTTAGTATAGGAGGTAGTGGAATGCAAAAACATTTGAACTTGAGTTGTGTTCACATTATGATTTGGGCAGTACATTTTTGATTTGAGATTAGCTCTCATATTTAAGAGAGCTATGGGAAAGGGAAAGAAAGTAGAGGTTACGTTCTGTTGCAGAACAGAAGGGAAGTAGGCAAGGATATACACAGCATATAGGCTGTGTTTAATATATATGTACTTTCAAATAACTGTTTTACATCTTGTTCTTCCTTATAACACCACTGATACGATGGGTGTTTGATCTTTTTCAGATGACTTGGTTTTGTCTCAACAGTGCTATGTTTAATGTGGGCCACGTTCTTCCTTTTGTACATTTGAACTTTATCATTGCTATTTGTCAAAAGTTGTGAAAGTAGTTTTAAAAACATCGAGTAAAATATCACATTGTAAGAAATTGTTTTGCTTACAGAAGTGGTAGTCTGATAGAGAGCCCCATAAACTTAGTGGTTCAAATGCAACTTAGTTGTATCGTCGTAACAAATGTGTTAAAAGCATAGGGAATAAAATCATGGACTGCATAAAAATATTAAATTCTGTGTTGTAGTAAAATGAAGGTTTGAGTCTGACGCTGCAGTAGATGTTTTCAGCTGTTAGCGTTAATTACATGCTCTACTCTCTCAGCCATGGTCCGTGGTGCTCAAAAAAAAGTGCTTTCTTCCATGATGTTCACTTGTTGTATCCTCTGCCTGTTCAGTTCCATTATTTATGTCAGTTCCCTTAGTTCTTAAATTATTACTATTATTATTTTTCCCTTAAGAACAGAGGGTGCGTTATTGTGCACGTAGATCTAACCTAGTTTGCCTGAGTTGGAGGTGCTTTTCACAGGCCTGTGAAGCAGATGCACGTTGAATGCTGCCGCGGGCAGTAACGAGCGGCCGCCTCTCCGCTTGTTAACAAAGCGGGGCCGTGAACAAAGACCCCTCAGAGGATGCGTCGCCCACTCGCGCCAGACGCGCGGGGCCGCGTTGCCTCATCTCCGCTCCGGAGCTGGGGCGGGCGGCGCGGGATACGGATGTCTCCATTAATGGAACGGTCTGAAACGACACCCAGAAAGGGATTGGAGCATCGTCTCCGAGGGTTTTAAAGGCGCATTACGTGCGAAGATGTTAGGCTTTCCTCTAGAGTGGCAATCTGAGACTAGGTTGTGCATGAGCTGGCTGAAGTCACAGGTGAAATGTGCTCGACCCAAGAGTAAATCCCAGAAATGATCCTTATTTTCAGAAGCAGCACTCAGTGTTGCAGGAATTGACACTGATGAGTGACGGCCTCATTAGTTTGAAGCACAGAGAGCCTAGCATGTCCAGGAAACTGCTCTGAAGCTTAATTGTGCAATTTCTACATCAGCTGATGCCTGAGCAAGCCTGCTCAGGGTCCTCTTATCTGCCATAGCAATTGATGCTGTCACGAGCTGGACTTCTTTCCCGGCTTTCCGGAAAGTGGAGCTCAGGACTCTTAGGCTGGAACTTGCTGTACAGTTGAATTATAGCATCTACCAACAAAGGTGTCTTCAGTCTGTGTCCGCTTCCAGAATATAATTTATAATTCTGAACATGTGTTAGGGACCTGGAACCTTAAACTGCTGTCATTATTTTTAATGGTCATGTGATTGATTTATTTTTTTCTTGCATGAGGTTGTGGAGGCTGCCATTATGCTTCTTTAAGCCGTCTTTCAACTAAAATGCTATTTGCAGATGTAGTTGTGCAGCTTGCTCTTTTAAGAACTTTAGAGCACCAAGCTAAAACACTGTGAAAATTGGACCTCAGTGTTGCACTTCTCTGTAAGCCTTTGCATTACAGCCGTGGAAACATAACAGACTCTTTATGAGCTTTGAATTGGGCACAGAGCTGTGTTCATGCAGGTCAAAAGAAAAGGTAGCCCACAAACAGCCCAGACACTTCAGCATCCTGATCTTTGAGACAGGCGTTTGGTTCTTCCCTCAGCTTTGTGTCTTGCTTTGTAGCTCAGTTCCTCTTCTGTAAAAATTAAAAAAAGAGGCAGTAATGTTCCTTACCTCATGGATGTCTCGGGGAAACTTGGGATTATACTGGCTGTTAGCCACAGTGTCCTGAAATGGATAGGATACCAAAGGGAGAATCTAGTCCCCCTTTTTCTCAGTCTCTACCTGTAAAAATGGGTATTGGTAGGTTGCATGTGCCTTCCTTTGCGTAATGATCTGAGATACGTTGATAACAAGCATGCTAATTAATACAAAAAGTGTTTTTTTAAGTTAATGTACAGGCTTATGCATGCAAGAGTCTCCTTACTTATTTTCTAAAAACTTTGTTTTTCCTCTTCTCTTCCTTACAGATTCCAGTAAGATCATGGCAGAGTACAGCCACACACAAAACCAGATGGATTTACAAAATGCTAGTTTGGGAAAGGCTTCTGTGGTGAATTCACTTGAAAATGGTCTCCAGGATATTATGGAAAACCTCAACCCAAAGAAATACTCCTCAAGTCTCAAATTTAAAACAAATGGGGACTATGCTGGTTCTTATTTAACCCTCTCACAACCTGTGCCCGCTAAACCCAGTCCTTCCTCCAGTGTTAAAAATACCCACTCGATTACCAAAATTCAAGGAGGTAAGCTGTTCCCGTGTGAGAGCCCATATCTTTTGGATAAGAGTATCTCTGCGAAGCATTTGAATTCCATATCTGGCACTTCTCCGTCCTTTGGCGGGTACGGTTTGGGAAGGACAGACTTTGATATCCACGCCAACCGAGAAAATGAAAAATCCCACGGACACGCGGACAAGTTTCACTACTCAAAGTACAGTCAAAAAAACAAGTCGTACGACAACGTCTACTTCCCAGGAATGCTGGACACGAAGAAGATCTCCGGCTCGCTTCTCACCATGTGGAATGGAAGCTCGGGGAGTGAACTGATGCTTTCCCCCGCGAGCAATTCGGGGGCAGCCAGCATGCCTTCGAGCCCAAAGCAAGGCAGGAGGGTGAACGTTCAAGACAGCCTGGCTCTTCACGCGAGGCCAGCTAAGCACAGGGATGTGGTGACAGAGCCTCTGAGTTCACGACCTAGGAAATACTCCGGCGGATCTCTAAGTCATATGGGAATGTACAGTCGTTCCCTGCCCAGACTTTATAAAGCAACAGAAAACCAGTTGGTGCCATTGAGTTTGCCCCCAAGAAACTCTCTGGGTAATACTAAAAGGAAAAAACTTGGAGAAAAAGATCTACCTCAGAATGCTTTAGATGCTGATAATTACCTGAATTTTTCTTCTTGCAGCTCAGGAGTTTTGCCACATGCAAATTCTGTGTCGGAGAATAATCCCTATGTTAGTTCCACTCTTAGTGTTCCTCCGAGCCCTCGAATTGCTAAAAAAATGCTCTTAGCTTCTTCTTCCTCCTTTCTTTCTGATGATTTTGATAGATTTGGGCTCTCAGGAACAAGTCCCAGTAATTCTTTCTCCCCTGTGGATTTTGACAGATCATTCTCTGTCAGAAGAAACCTTTCCACTAGTTCCATAGAATTTGATGAAATGGATTTGGAAAGCTTCAGACAGACACCAAACTCACTGCAAACTTCTGTAAGAGAACGGAAGAACAGCATTAGTTCCATTTCTGGAAGAGAGGACCTCATGGATTATCACAGGAGACAGAGGGAAGAGAGGCTTAGGGAGCAAGAGATGGAACGTCTGGTAATTTTTCATTTTATTTTTTCCTGACAGTTAATGTTTGCAAAATGCCCTTTCCAAATCTAGCTGTTAGAAGGGTACAGTAAAACATAAGCTGTTGTGTTTGGAAATTCAGATCTCATCTACTTGAGATGCATTGCTTATTATGGCAGTCCTTGAAGCTAATACTTAAATAGTATGCTGCTTTAACAGCTCATATTCTATCATTCAGCCATCTTAAAAAAAATAATGTTGGGACCCGCATAATTTGTGATCATTCATCCTGTGGGCTCTGTTAAAATGTCTACCTATGTAAAACCCACAAATTGCACTGAAGAGATCCAGCACTTCTGCTTAGTTCATGGCTGTTCATTTGCAACCTATGTCTTCATTGCAAGCTGCTTGGAGTCATGGTTGTATACGTGCAGTCCTGTGGATTCATGTACACATTGGTGAAGGTTTTGTCAGAATATTATGCAGTATTCAGAACATACAAGGAGAGGAAAAACAGTTTCATATCATTTCTTTTTCCCCTAAGAGGATACCTAGCATTTATTCATTTTTTTTTTCTGGGACTATAAAGTCTAACTGTTTTCATGTATTAAAATTATACAGATTTTATTATTCACCAAGAACTTGAGGTTATTAAATGGGCAAATTTGTATTAGCGAGCACTCGCCTCAGATTTGTACAATAACTTTGTATTTTGTGTGCTTTAAACACAGTTTTGTATTTTTGAGGAAAATGAAAACGGGATGCTCCTGAACCTCTCTAGCTCGCGTACAGTCCAGGTGGAGCCTGCGGTGAAGCTGACTTCTCATGCATGCTTATTCCCGTGGCCAGAGAGGGGAAATACGAGGAGGGAAACCTGAGGAGGGAAGAGTGGTGCTGGTCATTTGAGGCCAGAGACCTCGGGGCGCGCTGAGTGTGCAGGTCGTGGCCCCCATTCTGAGCCAAGGGTTTGAACGGTTTCAGGAGCGGGATCAGAGTCTGTTCCAGTCTGTCCCTCCAGTGCTGCGTGCATCCTGGACACAACCTCAGCTGAGAGGAATTTTTTTACGAGGGCAAAGTCCTTCATTTTCATTATTGGCCTGCTCAGAGGTGTGTTTTTATGAAACACGTGTTACGGGTTTGCAAGACACTGTAAAAATGCTTGGCGTGGCTTGCTCGAAGGCAGACATCCGAAATTCGGGCCCGGGTTTAACAGAGCAGCAGGCGTGCCCGCTCTCCCCGCTCCCCGTTGCCGTCGGGGCGCCGGCTTTGCCAGGTTACCTTGTGCCGTTGCCGCTGGAAGCGTCCGCAGGCCCCGTGTGGAGCTGGGCCTTGTGGTGCCTCAGGGACACCGCGAGGTTTTGAAGGGCCTTGTGGTGCCTCAGGAGGTTTTGAAGGGGGAGGAGATTCAGTTGCCAGTGGAAGTGATCAAGGTAGCTCAGGAAAAGTTGTTGCCCTTGCCTGCAAAAGCAAAACAACACCAGCAGAATCCTTACACAGGGTTTCTCTTTCTTCCTCTCTCTTCTCCCTAACATGATTTTACCTCATTTTGAATTTTCTTCTTTTCTAGTCCTTTGGAAAACAAGATCTTACTTAATATTTTGTGTGTGTAAAGTGGTTTTCTTATCATCAGACATTTTTCATTCAGCCATTCTTTAAATGTGAGAGATAGTCAGCCGTAAAAGGCAGCACAGTACAACATATTTATATTTTATTCTATATTTATATTCCGACTCTTTTGTGGTGAAAGACTGCAGCTATTAAGGGGTTGTTTCTGCAGTCAGTAATGCTAAAATTTGCCCTGATATTATATGTGGACGTAAAGTATTTTTTTTTTCTCCTCACTTCCCAAAACAATATTTTTTCAATATTTTTTTCAAGTGCTGATACTTTAGCAAGACAGTTTGGCTGTTTTTTTTTCCCAGCGTGTATTTTCTTTTTGAAAAACACGATAAAGTTTTATTTGTTGCATACAATTTAAACAGGAAGGAAGGCATTTCCTCCTGCTTGAATTCGTCTTCTCAGCAGGATCCTGCTGTTATTTTTCCTTGTTTTATGTGGCCAAAGAGTTGATAATCAGGGCACTGCCTCACCCAGTGGTCAAGGAGTAAGAGGGAATAACCCACAAAATTAGTTCCCAAATCTATGTGAGGAAGAGGTGTGTTATATATAAAAATGCACTCCCTTACTGTGCCTGTTGGAGCCCCCATCAACCCTTGTGCACGCAGGGCCTGGCCTGTTTGGTTTTGGCCTTCTCAGTGGACCAGAGCTCGCTGAGCCTTCCCAACATCCAGCCGGAGTTTGGAAAGAGCAGCTTTGGGCTCACTGGGACAGGGAGTGGGCAAAGGCGAGAGCTGCCCTGGGTTTGCGCCCGCCTGCTTCTAGGGGGAGAAACAAGCAAAGCAGTGCTGTTCAACAGCAAAAATGTGCGCTCAGGAGTGTAAGTGCCGAGTACAAGTCCAGGGTGAGCAGCTTGTAGATAAACAGCTGGGGAAATGTAGTCTATTTTTATACATTTTTTGGCTCGTATGTGTTGTGCTTCTGAAGCAGCATAGGCAGAAGAAAAGCTAAGGACTATTCAGAGAGCCTTATCGGAAGCGTGGCGCTCGTTTCAGAGGGTCACACTGCTGCAGAGCCCAGATACAGCGTGGAGCTTGGTTTGCGTCGGTCCTGCTGCTCCAGCTCCTGCTGGCAGAGAGCAGGTTTAGGTGTTGTGTTTGCCCGCTGCAATTCGCCTCTGAACTTTGGGGCCTGGACACGTTACAGTTTAGCTAAGTAGCTGCCCTTGATCTCCCTTTTTTTTTTTTTTCCTCCATAGGAATTATTCTGTGAGATTTACTTGTGAAATCTGTGAAACCCGTGCTTGGTTTGCTTTTTAAGTGTGTGCGTTTGCTCCCCCTGCGCAGCGAGGTTACGTATATACGTGTGCGTTTGGTGTTTCTATCTCCCGCTTTCTTCGGTTTTCCTTTTACGGCTGGATTTCCCAAAGCCAGCAGAACACTGGTGTCACTTAGATTGTCTGTGGCTTGAGAAACGCAAGGAAGCGGCGTTCCCGCTGCAGCCCTCTGCCTGGTCCTACTGCCAGGAGCCGGGGGAGCAGGTGGGCTGCCAGGAGGATGCTCCTCCAGCAACACAAGCGGGTTCCATGAGAGTCTCCCTGGGCTTCCTCTCCAGCCGGGCTGCCCAGGCATTCGGTCCTGCTGCGGGGATGTTTATACCAGTTGTAAACAAGTGGGAGTCAGGGTAAGCTGTTGCTAAAGTTAACCCGTGACAGTGATACACCACAGAAAACTTCAGCACTGTGGTCCAATTCTCTTCCCCGAGACGCAGTTAGTGGTTGGAATTCCTCCTTAAAAAAAGATGAAACTCATTTTTTTCTTCTGTCTGAACTAAAAATCTGGTTGTTGCTACTGGAATTGAAAGAGAGCTGTTCTGGGCAGCCTTGGAGGGGGTCAGGGGATGGCACGGCACAGGCATACATATACTCACATAGACACTGAGGCCATCTATTCTGTTTGCTACCCACTCTTTTGAATAGCACCAACCTTGGTGGATTCTTGGTGCTGTTTAAGCAGTGCAATGTATTTCCCCTAGATGGTGCTAGATGTTTAAAGATTACTTGGGCAGGATTTCAAAGATAGCTTCCATAGGCCGGCTGTCTATATGCGTCTGTAAACATATGTTTATAGCTTTACTACATGTGAGATTTATACTTGGAGAGATTTCAGCTTATCAGAGCAATGACAAGCCATAATAAAGCTTGAGGAGCTTGTTTTCTGTGGTCTCTGTTTTTTCCCCACGATCAGCTCAGCATTGTTTTGTATACAGGAAATAATATAAAGCTACTTGTATTCTGTGAAGTATTTAACATTGATTCATTGATAAAGCTTGAGGAGCTTGTTTTCTGTGATTTCTTTTTTCCCCACAATCAGCTCAGAATTGTTTTGTACAATATAATATAAATAATATAAACCTAGCTGTATTCTGTAAAGTATTTAGCGTTGATTCGTTACAATTTTGTATGCTGTGCTCCTGTGAGGGAAATTTTGGTCCTTCCAAAGCGGTATAGCTTCAAAACTATGGATAAGAGAGCTTATAGAGCTTATTGATCTCTTAATGCTGCTTGGAAAATCTCACATGCATGTTTTAAAAATTATGGCAGTGTATCTTTTTATAGATCCTTTAATTATGGTAGTGTATGTTTTTATAAATCCTTTAATTATGCATTATCTCAGCTGCACCTAAGGCCATAAGTGATTAAGGTCTTACTCTAGAAGGGTAAATAAAGGCTAGATCAAGATATTTTTTTTCCACCACTGATATCTGACAGTCTTTTTACTGTTACAAATGGCTGTTTAACAACAGCTTAATTTAGTAGAAAAGTGAGTGCCATAATTTTTTTTTATCAAAATATTTCTGTAGCATCCTTAATCATGCGAAGTATGGATTTAGTTTAACTTATCTTCAAAATACGGGTGAATAACTAATTGCCAAATAAATGCGTGGTTTTATTTCAAGGATATGTATGCATAATTTTTGCAACTATGTTCTATCAAACGGAACAGGATGGAAATCAGATAGAAATCAATTTCAGTAGAACTTATTTTATTTGCAGAACTTAATTAGGTATCAGGCTAAAACTTGTGCTTTAGACTGTTAACCCGGGTGTAACATAAAAATGAGGGTCTTGCAGAAGTCCTGCAGGAGGAAGAGGCCTCGATGCGCACGAAGCGCCGCACTGGGCTGAGCGAGGAGAGCTCGTGCCGCTCGGTGCTGGAAGGCGATTCCTCGTGACTGCCCGGGGGTGTTTTGGGGGCTCCTGCTGCTTCGTCAGGAGCCAAATCCACTCCTGCGGCGCAGGAGCTAATTCTGCAGCAGCTCTGCCCTGTCGCTGCCAGGGAGCAGCTGGAGCGCCGGCCTTCCCCGCTCCCGGCCCTCCGCTCCGTCCGTGTCCGGATGGGGACGGCGAGGAGGAGCGGGCGCAGCCTGCAGCCTCCCCGTGGCCTTGGCTCGTGCTAACCTCGTAGCCGAACGGCTAAGGGGAAACTATGAAATCTGTGAGGCTGAAGTGAGAAACCGGGGCAAAGCAGAGGGGAGAGAAGGGGAAGAACAGCTGTAGGGCTGCGTTCAGACCCTTTTGAAAGTCTAGCTGTGAAATAAGTTTCTATCTCGGTGTCTGGCAAATGTGAAAGCGTTGGTGCCTTAAAAAAACTGGAAGGAAAGCGGAGCCTTTCATCAGCCTTGTGACCTGAAGGTGTTAGTGAGAGAGAAGGTTTGGGGAGACCTGTCTTGCTGCTTTTGCCCGTCTTTGCTCATCTTTCTGCTCCTTTTTGGCTGCTGCACCGAACTTACGCTGCGAAGCTGGTAGTTGTCCTGCACAAGAGGTCTTTAAGGGGCAGCGCTGGAGAAGCGCTGCTGTTGGTAGGTGAGAAGCAGCAGCAGCAGCCTCCCCTTCAGAGCACAGTAATTCTTGTTGGCGTCGGCCGTAAAAGATGGAGGCTGCACATGTATTTTTAATGAAATCTTGGGTTGTGCAGCTGCTAATGGCACTTTATCTAAAAAGCTTCCTGCTCGCCACAGTTGACATCACCTCTTCACTCTGGTAGAATTTGTATATGTGACCTGCAGCAGATGAGTAAGCGCCGGGATCATTGGCGTTATTGCTGTGAATGGTGGGAGTTATTTTCCTCTGCTATTTCAGAGTATTTTTCTTCACAGTGTGCCAGAGGTGTCTCTTAATGTCACTATTTATCGGTGATAGAGGAGGGTTGTTACTCAGCCTTATCCCATCCTCCTTCTGCACCTAGATCCCCAGCCGTGCATACATGGTAGGTAGCTCTGCCAGTGCCTACAGGGCTGAAACTGCCAGTGCTGCGAGTGCACCCCCCTGCACCCCTCTTCAGAACAGCTAAAAGAGCCGAGGATAATCTGTGGAGATGCTCTAGTTTAGTCGAAAAGACATTTTATGAGCAAATATCCTGAAAGGAGGGGGAGTAAAATTGCTTGGGGCTTGATTCAGCACCCCTCCCTCCCCCCAGAATCAATTTTAACCCATCTCGTTTCTTTCGACATACCTTTCTTCTCCACTGTGTTCAGCCTCACAATCAGCACATCTAGGATTTCCTGTAAAATCTCTGAGTGGATTTTCCATGTGCTACCGTTTCTGTATTTTTTGATTGCGAGGGTGCTTTCCTGGCCGGGTGCTTGACTCAGAAATTTATGCTGGAACAGCTAAATGCAGGTGTGCTGGAGCTGGAATGAGCTGGCTGAGATGAAATGATGAGAATAGAGCGTATAAAATAGCCACAGAGCTTCCTGTCCATGAGCCTCCTGGCGCATGTCGAAATAGAAGCGAGAGGTAGCGGCATTTCTGTAATGTGTCTGAAAGCTGATCGGGAATTTTTTGAAGACTGACAGAGATTTCCCTCTAACTTTTAAATTTTCCCAACCATGTGGGACTTTAGCGGGGAGGAAAGATTCTCACAAAGGGATACGTTTGCACTGAGAACTTCTTACTGTAGCGTTTTGGCTAGGATAAGCAGCAGTTGCAATTGAAACCCCGGTTTTTCCTGTTTTTATTGAAGGAACAGGGGGCTGGCAGGGTGGGAAGCGATAGATGTTGTTGTGGCAGGGAGGGATGGTGTTTTATATTCTCACGCTGTGCTTCCCCTCCACAACCGCTTTGAGGATTGTGTTATGGGGCCAGGCCTGGTGCTGTCACAACAGCGCGAGCCGCGTAATTCCCGGAGATCCCAGCCAGCACTTGCACAGCGCTTTAGGAATTGGGTCGCGTGGCCAAAAGCCTTGGTAAGAGGGAGGATAGCAGCTCTGGAGGGGAAGGAGACCAGCCTGGGAGTCCCGTGGTGGATGCATGGTGGGAACAAGGGTTTGGGGAGTTCGGATTAGGCTTCTTTGGGGTTGACAGATCTCTGGAGCGTCTGCTGGACCAGATATTTCACGGAAATTTTGAGTGAGGAATTGCTACCCCAGAGCTGCCCAGGGCTTCAGTAATTTCCATAGTTTATTTCTGGCTGTGTTGTTGCAGGTGACTTCAGAGAAAAGTGCAGGAAACCTGCAGCGCAAACCTGGGGAAGCGTTGCTGCCTGAAGGCAAAGCTTCTGGCTCGCGGCTCTTTCAGTTGGGTAGAGCTTGGAGACAGATGGGTCCGGGGTCTCTCTGAAGTGTGTAAGTGTGGGTCACAGTTAGCTGCGGGTGATCTGGGGTAGTGTAAATGCGTGATGCGTTTGGCCGTGTAATCTTTGGGCCATAAAGAGCCAGATTCTTGTAAGCTAGTGTTAAATCTTCATAGAACTGCAGTGGTTTATTTAAGGAGAGATGGAAACATACATGGCCCTAACTCTTGCTTGATTCTTGCTATCACTTGCTGCTGCATTGAGGGTGTTAGGATCATAAGAAATAGCCTTTTGCAAATCCTATTTGGAAATGTCTTGCCAGTTAGAACGTGGAAACTGAATGCTGCTGCAGTGGTTCGGGAAAGGAGGCTGATGTTTGCTTCTTTGGGGCTTTATTTTTAATGCGATTAGAAATCAGAGGCTTTCCTAGAAATAAGAATTGTGGTGATTAGTGCAGGTGTTAATGCCAGGCATGGAACTTTCACAGTGACGCTTTTTCCTGCGGAATTTTCAATAGGCTTATGGTAAGCAATTTTCAGTTTAACTTATTGTTTTTTCTTTAGCAAAAGAAACATGACATTATGTAGATGCACCATGCCTTAAGAATGAGAAGCTCAAACAGTTTGATCTGAAATAGAAGTTAAGCGGTGTTATGCATAGAATAAAATAAAACAAGTGGGGCATTTAAATCCGTTTCATCAGTATCACAGAGATTTAAAAAATCGGGAATTAAATGTTTACTGGACATTGGAGCATGTCAGGTCAAAACTGACAAAGCTATTCAGATTCTCAAGTTTTAAATGTTAGTTTGAATCTATGTGGAATTTGATGTAAATATTTTCCCCGTTTTGGTACGTTCAACATCTGCTGCATTTTAGCTGTGATGCTACATTTATGCGTGTAGGGATTTGAACAGGGTGTTTCAAAAGTGGATTAATTCCCTTGCCCCCTCAAGGGAATCAAAGTTTACAGAAAATCCTCCAAAATCAGCGATAAATGAGTTCATGGAAAGTCTTTGCAGTGTCTCACAGTTTAGTAGGAGTATAGCGTAAAGTACAAAGTGTATAGTGCAGAGTGGAACAATTAGCAATTTATAAAGTAAGCTAAGTAGGGTTTGGTTAAAGTGACATGAATAAACAATATTAATATACATCTTCTACATTGGAAAGAGAGGTAAATGTTAGCACATGTTAAGGTGAATAGCTACTTGTTTCTGGGGAATGTACATTTATTTTTTAGGATTTTCATACCTGTTATCTTTGGTTCTTCAGGTTATACAGTACTTATCTATATGAATCTGTTCATTATCTTTAATCGTTAGAGGCATACATGGAATTGTATGGCTGTAATCTTCCACTTTTTTTTTTTCTTTTTTTTTAAGAGAAAACCAGTAAATCTAGTTTTGACTTAGTGATATATCCTTCTTTTAACCAGGAGCGTCAGCGGTTGGAGACAATCCTCAACTTGTGTGCAGAATACTCCAAACCTGACAGTGACCCTGCTACGTCTACAACGGTTGCCGATGTTCAAAAAATTAACAAAGAACTTGAAAAGCTTCAGCTATCAGATGAAGATTCAGTGTTTGAAGATTCACAAATGAATCTTGAAACACGGTTCAGAAACCACTTGAAATCATCTGCGAGTGATTCAGATTTTTCGGAGCTGAGCAATCACAGTCGCAGTGCTGGTGCTTTCCTTTCCTCCAGAGGGTTGAAAGGTGACGAACACTTCAATGACACCATGAAGACTCCACCTCTAGCTGCTTCTGCCTTCCTGAAGGATTCCACGGAATCTTCCTACTTAAGTATCACACCAAAGGTAACACCGTGTGGAAAGAAATACTGCAACCTAGGATTGCATACTTGAAATTCTCCTATAGAAATCAGTTTTCAAAGCAGGGGTTGCACTCGGGGTGGTTTAGGTATGAATCTTAATCTCAGAGTCCATCCAGCTTTGTAGCCACCACCAGAAATAGCAATTATTTCATTTGCTATAATATAAGCTATTTACATTGGAAGCTTTTTTTCAAGGCATGTATTGACCAGGGAGAGGTTTTTGTATTTTCCGTGGGAGAATGGTTTAACAATTTAAAGCTACCTAGATAAGCACTGTTTCAGAAGTCCTATTTTGAACTATCACTGTGTGGAGGTTTACCCGAGAGGGAAGTTCTGCCACTTCCCCCTAGGCTGAGACTCCTGTTTTCTGTAAAGAGAGGAGGGTGTTTTCTTGCTGGTGGGCTGGTATAGTTGTGAAGAGGGGCAAGAGAAATTGCCTGAGCTGAGTTTACTGCCCTGTCCCCTTCCCCTGGAATGGAGCTAAGCCACTTGTTTAATCGGCACTGCAAGGCAAGTCCTACATTTGCTGCAGTTTTGCTATGAAAAGGGAGTTGTCCTTTAAAAAATGAAATTACTGACATTTGAAACATCAGATTTCTGGTTTGTGTACAGGTTTTCAGGCTGTTCCCATCTGGAGGTCTTTCCTTCAGCTAAGACAGCAACAGCCTAGTTGGTGGAGTGGGAAAGGCCTTTCATTTGTTTTAAATCAGAGCCCAAGTTCTCCTGTGTTAGACAAGCCCTCCAGCAGGATCTGCTGGTAGGCTTTGCCTTAAAGATTAGAATGAAGATCTTGAGAAGAAGAGCCATAGCAGCAGGTTTCTGTTTAACAGTGTACATATTAAAAATATTTCTATGTTTTCCTTGTTTCTGTGAGAGTATATATACGCTATATTCAGTATGGTTGCGTGTCTAACAAGTTTTATTTTTGTTTAACTTGCATACATGCTTATGTTCAACAGAAGTACGTGAAAAAGAACAGAGAATAGAAAAATGTTTTGTCTTATAGAAGGGTGCTTTTTCTGGATATGTCCTGAGTTGTTCAGTGTAAAAAAGATGTTGAAGAGAAACCTGCTGTTCACTTAACCTTACCAGTGCTTTGTGTATTTGAAAGTTGCTAGGTCATTTCATTAGCCCGTTACTCTGCTCCTGCATTTCCCTCACGTTCGTGTCTGTTACGTTCTTCGACCGAGTCAGAGATCCTATTTTAAATCCCTGTTGGGGAGTGGAAACTGAAGATGTTATGTCAGCATTATCCGAACAGGATACCGGACAAAAGGAAGCTTTCCTGCTAGGATTACTAATGCTAATCAAGGAATACCATTCATGCAGTGTGAAGGATGATCAGCTAAGTCCACAGAAAAACAGCAGCAAGCAACAGCACTAGTGCAGCACGGCTCATTGTTTCAAAATATCAGGGTCAGATTTGTCCATGTTAAATTGCCTGCGCTCAGAATAGCCACGCAGGAGCTGAGCTGCCTCTGAGCAAGGCCGCGTGGTCGAGGGGGGAATGCAGAGCCCTGCACGCAGCCCCCTCCTCATTCCCACTGGAAACAGTGTGAGCCACCTTGCAAAAGTAGTCTCGAGTCCCCGGGGTCAGGTGAACGTGAAGAATACTTCTGAAACACAGTACTATCTTAATATAGCCTTTTCTGGGATAATAAGGTCAAAATATTTTCTTAATAAGTTTGTTTCATTCTTGTCACCGTCATCTAATACGTAAATGGCAATGAAAAGAGCGATGTCAGGGATGCTCCTTCCGTCAGTGCTAACTAGGAGAGAGGACCAAGTTTTGTCTCTGCTTTACAAAAGATGCCATCTTCAGTTAAAAAAAAGTCATATTCTACATCCTGGATTTTGTTGTATGCACAGCTAAAATACACAGAAAAAGTATCTTCATCTATTGTATTTCCATAAGGGAAAATTGGACATTTACAACCTAAATAGCACAGCACGTAAAATATTGTCAAGAGACAGATTTTAATAACTACTAGAATATGAACAGTATTTACTATTCAGTATAGTATTTACTTCCAGTGTGTGCAAGTATTGTGTTTGTTTCTTTTGTACACTAAGTATACAAATAGCAATATAGCAGAATGAAATTTGTAATGAGTTGAGAATGGGCAATACAGTACTTGTCAAAAGTAAACACAGTATGAAAGGGAGAAAGGAAGCACAGGGTTTAATGTCTCTATCAGATCTCCCGTGATGTGTGATTGCAGGTACCAGAATGCCTCAGTGATGAGCAGAGAGGGCAGGAGCTCGGTCGACTGGAGGAGGAGCGCATAGCGATACTGAATAATTTGGAGGAACTTGAACAGAAGATCAAAGATTTAAATGACCAGATGGATGAGTCCTCAAGAGAGGTATGAAGTGCGTTTTGGTTTTAAATGCCTTGCTTATTGAATATATCTCGTAGCAAACATCTGTTATGTCCTACAAGTATATAGGAAACTGAGACATGTACATACCTTCAGATTCTCTGCATTTTCACCCAAAGTAGGTGCACAATAGTAATCTTCTACTATGGAGGTTATTTTTCCCTAGCAAGGAGAGCACAACGCTCTAATTGGCCTTTCCCAGCTGTAACCATCATACTCCTAAATGGAGTGATTCCAACCACTCTTGCTTGTAGAGTGGTTGCTCAATTGATCAAAATGCTTTGTGGCATTTGGGAGTTTTATGGTGGGATCTCATGTGACCATTCAAAGAGAAAGGAAGTGCAGTAAGTTCCTTTTTATCCTCCTTGTCCTTACATGACAAGGTTATGTGGCCCTCTTGACTCCTGGAATCTCACAGTTGAACACTAAGCTGGCCAGGCATTTAGGCTGTGCTTACTCCAATTATCAGCAACAGGAAAGAAACAGCTGTTCCAAAAGGGTTTCACACAGAGCCTGTGCACGGATAGCTGCTATAATATCAAACAGGAGGAAGCACAGAGGAGAAGAGTTGGAAAAGAAAAAGTTTTGAAAAAAGAATCCTCAGACTAAAGTTGGTTTGGACTTTGTTTTGCAGTACTGTATGCTGCAGTTTTACTTTTTTTTTTTCTCAGATTTATGATTTTTTTTAACTTTCTTCCTATATTCTGTGGGATCAGTACCTTTTTTTTTTTTTTAATGTTCCTGTGTTATGAATAGTCACCAACTCACTCCCCTTCCCCCAGAAAAAAAAAAGCTTGTGTCAAGATTTCTTCTTAATCTGGACTGCTTCTGAAAAATGTTTTGTGTTCCTAGTTGGATATGGAATGTGCCCTTTTGGATGGGGAACAGAAATCTGAAACAACAGAGCTTCTGAAAGAGAAGGAAATTTTGGATCATCTAAACAGGAAAATAGCTGAGCTGGAGAGAAATGTTATTGGTGAAAAGACAAAGGTAACCAAACTGTTTCAGCTACCTGTGTTCTCTGTTTCCCTTGACCTTCAAAATACATTTATATAATTGATGGAGGTTATTTTGTGAAGTAGTATGTATAAGTAAATTTACTCCAGACCTGTAGAAGAAAATAGTTCTCTCATAAATAGCACCCCTTAACGGTCTTGTTTCCCAATGCATGCTTAGCAAGCAAAATACACTATGCTCAAATAAGAAGATCTGACCTGCAATGTAAATATTTTAGATTAGCAGAGAATCTGCTAGGACTTGGACAAGAGTTGTCTGTTTAAAAGGACAGTATTAACTGAACTCTTTCACAGCCTTTCCCAAGTTATGGGTTATATATTTTGATTTATCAAGAATTTTCTTTTTTTCAGCAAAGGAGTGGGATGAAAGAAGGCTGACATTTCAGAAATGTCTCTCTCTTTTATTATATAGAATGATAGATGAGACATCTGTCAAATGCATAGTTCTAAAGTAATTATGTTTTGTTTGTTGGCTGCAAATTTTAGTACTCTGGAATAGTGTCTCCGAGATAAGTCAAAGGAATTAATTAGTTCTCCGGTCTAGTTGAATATTCAGTTCCTCTCAAATATGCAGTTGTGTCTGCAAAATATGCTAGTTCTGTTATAAGATTTTAAGTACAAAAATAGAAAGGGACTGTAAGATAAATTTTCATCTTCAAACCAGAGAGAGATTGTTTCCTGTAGTGCACTCTCTGCGGGGTTTTCAGCCAGCAGTTCCTGTCTTGATAGGATGTTCCACGGCCATTAATATCTCAAGGTCAGATAGTTTTTCCAGGATGTTCAGGCAGTAAATTTTCCTTTTTACGGGGAAATTTCTTTTTTCTACCTCAATTTTAACTTGGGCGTTTCTGTGAGAAACTCTAACTAGCTATTTTATCCTTTTTTTTTTTTTAAATACTTGCAAGAAATATTGGAAGCCTTTGATATGTTGTGTTCTCTGCCTTTGTTTAGACAAGTTGCACGTTTTATAGCTCTTTCACACTTCCCATTTAATTCAAGGCGCTTAGCTTTTATTTCTTTTTTGAGCTTTTTGCCCTCAGTTATAAGCCTGAAAACTGTTTTGCATCTGTACTTGCTCAATGTGTATCTGAAAAGGCGAATGGTACTCGAACCTCTTTGCTCTATGAAGTGATGCTGCACATCCAGTTTAAGCTTAAGCTTTACTGGGCTTCCAGCCTGTGCTTTTCCTCATTTTTCCTTCCCCTCAGTGATCCTGCAGCTTTCAGTGATGCCTCTGGGTCAGCTCGAGAGATGTTTTCCATCTTTTATATTTTTTTCTATTTTAGTCTCGAGGTTCAGGGAAACTCATGCAAATTATTCTGAAATGTGTAGGTTGGTCACATTTCCTTGCAGTCATATGATAGGCTGTGTAACGTCTTTGTATTAGTGCATAATATTTAAAAAAACTAAAATGGCAAGTCTAGTTAAAAATGTCCAGTTGAACCGAAATGTGAAAAGCAGCCTAGAAAAAGGACTTTTGTTGTTTAAAGGCAGGTTCACTTAAGACATTTCCTTTATTATGCAGCATAGCACTGGTCAAGTCAGTTACAGTAATTTTAGTCCTTTCTCCTGTGTTCCCTATTAAAAAGTAGGAAAAACAAACAAAACAACTAAGCAACTAAGCAAACAACTCAATCTTTTGAGTGCTTGCACTAGACTCAAACCTGTGACACAGTTAATTCTGGAAGTATCTTTGTAGAAATCCACCAACTAGAAGAGAGATCACAGATTTTGTTCTGGAAGATGTCTAAAAGGATTGCATAAATTTGAAAGTTTAAAAAAGAAGTGGGAGACAAACAACCTGCAGTGAACAGGCAAAATATCATAAAGCAGCAGCTGAAGTGTTTTGGAGAAAGTAGTATCTGACAGCACAACAGATGCCAGTCGTAATGCCAACAGATAAGCAAGTTCAGTCTCACTGACAGCAACATTGTTTATTTTTTTTATCTTGTTTTAATCTTGTATCTGTATGCTTGAGGTGACAAATCCTGCATATGTGATCCAAGATAGACAGAGTCTTGGCTCTTCAGGAGAACAGTGCCAAATGACCACAGAAAAGCAATGAGCAGGTAGCGACACTAGGTGATACTTTTTGCTGGAATAAAGTTGAACTTATGGCCAACTTTACAGAAGTAGGGCTCAGTTTTTGCCTGGTAGTAGCCCTCTTTCTGATGTTAATCTTTGCCTTGTTTTCTTGCAAAAGGAAGTGTTCTAATGCCTACATAGGGGCCACAATGTTTTTTTAGTGGCTTAAATATTTCACCCGTAGTAATAATGGTGCCCTTGGTTTTGGTGATGTATCCTGGCAAGGAATTGACTAGGCAACGTGGTGTCGTCCTGAGGTGAAATAGATGGTTGATCTCAGTCACCAAACGATGCCAGGGTATGGTGCAGTACACGATGGTACTTGCCCCTGGAATACCTCTCTGGTGACTTGAGTCTCTCCGGGAATTTGTCACTGCTCTCAGCACCTGTTTGACAGGAAACCCCTGCCTGGCTGTGTTTCTTCCGTGTTTATGCAGCTGTTTGAAAAACTTGTGGAAATTCCTGAAAAGAGACATCACAGACTGTGATATAATTATTGGGCCATGGATGTTCTTTAAATAGCCTGTAAGGGGAGGACTTTCTGCTACTTTCTACCTGTTTTTATGACACATATTTTTAATGACTTAAGCATGGCTTATTTAGATGAGGACATAAGGCTTTGCTAAACTTTACAGTCTTAAAATCCCTCTTGAAAAATAATTTTTCTAGCCCTTGTGATAACAAGATGGTGCTTGTGAAGCATGAGAATTAATTGCAAAATATACCTGAAGACAGAAATAAAGAGAAGTAACTTAGAGAAATAACTTAGGTCTCTTGCTTCTTCTGCCCTTGCTTCTACTATAAATGTACATAATATGTATGTTTCATAGACATATGGTTGTATTTATACGTTCTTAGGGCAGTTTTGCTATTTTTGGCTATTTCATTTCATGTTTTCTAAACATTTTTGCTTTGGCCTTATTGACAGCATTTAGAATACTCTGTCAATAACCCTTCAAAATATAAAATAACCATTGTCTTTCTAGGGCGAAAAGAGAAACTATGACATGGAGGAAAATATTACTGAAACTGGGAAAGGATTGTGCCAGGCAATATGCAAGAGGAAGGAAAGAACAGGTTGCAGGAAGGTGTGAAATAACTAGAGGGCTGGTATTTAGTGTGAATGCTCTTGAGCTTTAATTTTTGGCAGTGCCAGTAAATAAGCACCTGTCGGGATGCAGTGTTTTTGTGTCTCCTGCTTGTAAACAGGGCACGGATGTGTTGGGACACTGCTGGGTACGTGGGTACGTTGCTCTCCGATCCTACCCGAGGGCCGTCAGCCCTGCCCGGGCTGACCGGCGATGAAGAGCGAAGGAAGCAGCGAGGAGGGTTGCGTGGTCACGTAGGTCAGCACTGAGAAGTCAGGAGTAACACACACAGCTTGAAGCTCTTCGCAAAGGGCTTTGCTCTGTATTTTGGCAAAATTATTCGGAGCAAAGGCTGCCTGAGAGAGAACTGAAGGAACAAGCGAGCCAGTCAGCCAGGCTCCCCTTTTCCCTGCCATACGGACCCCGCTTCCTGCAATTACCGCAGTGACTGGTACTGGTCATATGCAATAATGCTACTATTGTTTTGAGTGAAGGAGCAGCTCAGTTCCCCTGTGCTATTTACAGTTATGACTTCCTCGCAATCACTTTTAGTCCAGAATTGACATTTATCTGAGGAAATTGGAGAAAATCTTACATGATTTTGTGTTCTCTGGATTTGCAGAGTACTTTCTTTTGATACACGTCTTCCTTAGTATGGATAGCTTTAAAGTGTGCAGTCTAGTGAATGTGGAGAGGACACTTAATGTCTTCCCACGCCTGACATCACCAAAGTTAAAGTACTAACGTGGAATTAAAACTAATAATACAGCAGGGAAAAGAAATAATGTATTAGTGAATATAATAAAAAGGAATAACTCCAAATGAGTAATGAGTTCAGCTGCAGTACTGTTGCCAGTAAGCACAGTTAAATGGGAATATTGGCAGAGTACATCAAAACAACTACCTGCAAAAAATTTAGACTGAATTTTAGGAAAAAAGCTATTTTTTTTGTTCTCGAGGACCTTTGCCTTATGTCATGGTAGAAATATGTACCCTGGAACTCTTGTCTTCTGTCACGCAGGTCTTGCAATTGGGAGAAGTTGGCATGACTTACTGCTCCTAAAAAAAAATGGCCTTTTTTTTGGGGGGGGGGGAAACGTTTTATTTTGTTTGAATGTTTTTGTGGAAATAGTTTTCAGTCATTAACAGAATATCCCAGTGCTGAAGCATTTGAAACTCACCCTCTTTGCCAAATAGGTACTGCAAAGACTTGCTTCATCTGAGCCAAGGAAAGAGCAGCTGTCTCATAACCCAAATGAAGAGGGACACCAGCAATCACAGTTAAATATACCAGTGATCTCTCATGAGTCATTTTTTCTGTGTTCAAAATTCCTGTTGGTTTTTGCCCCAATGAATCTGACAGATTTGCATATCGCAATCTTTTTAAGTCTTTCCTGGTCAGCAAGGTGTTTAAGCATAGGTATTAAATCAATGAATTATGTTGTCTGTAATGCTAGCCACGTTCTTATGACAAAATATATGAGATAAAGTATCCTGAGGAGACCACGTAAGGTTAAGATATTAATGAGGAAAAATAATGTTGTGAAGAATCAAGGAGAAAAATATGAATCCCCCAAAATATCTTTTAAGACAGTTGTGATAGAAATAACAGTAGCAAAGGGTCAACCAGTAAAGGAGATCCTCTTGTTATCATCTAGAACTTGAAGACTCTACAGAATTTTAATTTTCTTGCTTAAAATGTTTGTTTTGGTTTGGATGATCATTTCTCCCTCTTCTCAATTCATGAAGGAACAGTACAGTAGAGTAAGGGGTTTTGTCTCCCTATCTGTGCAGCAACCTAACACATGGCAGTGCTCGGAGAATGAGTTTAGAGAATCCACAGTACTTCAGCTGTCCTAAGAGCAAGTTTACACATGCAACTGTTGTGATTTTTCACATCTAGCAGAGGAACTGCTTAGCCTCATTTAAAATGCCTTTTAATGTTAGTTTTACACATACATATGAAACAAAATCATTGAAAATAAATCTTTCCAACTAACTCCATTACTGTTAATCTGTTGTGATACATGATAAATTAATTAAATCCATGTGCAGTTTAAAAAAAAAAAAGAAATGCCTTCACATTATTCTCCTTTTTTAACGCCTGACATACATTCCTTGTCTGTTAATACCTTCTTTCATGAAACCAACGAGGGTTCAGTGCCAAATAACTGAATCATGCGAAGTTTATGCTTCTCCTGAAATGGATAAAGGAATGCAGGAAAGTAGTCTTGAAATGTAGAGGGAGAACGTATACAGATTGTACGCAGTAGGGTCTGTTTCTTTTCAATATTATTTTTAATCAAAGTAGCATGTGGTCCTATTCCGTTCACAAATACAGTCATAGCGTTGGAAAGGGTGATGGAAGCGCTGGATGGTCTCAGATGCAAAGCTTTCCCCAACTGAACCGTTTGCCTTGTGAGTAACCATCAAAGAGCAAATAACATTTCCCTATCAGCCCTCTGTTAGGGAGTAAGTTGCTTTCCTGAATATTTGTCAGCAAATGTTAGACCAGTTCCGTTAGTGAGTGTTTAAGGCAGACTCTCTTCTGAAGATTCCTCTTTTGCTTTCTTTCTTCCCAAATGTTTTTACTGAATGAACAAACTGTTGTAGCATCACGCCACTTTCAACTGGAAAGGAATTATTTCTGTAGCACGTTTCGTCTTTGCTTCTAGCTGGCACTTGTTTGCTGTAGGCTTCTGGAAAAGGAGGGGGACAGGTTCTTTGGGGAAGCAGTTGATAACATAGAGGTGAGTTAGGGAAACTCTGTGGACAAAAGCACTGTGTATGTTCCCCTTGCTTGTCAGAAAAACCTGTGACAGTTTGGACGCTAGGTAGTCCATGTTTGGCAGAAAGAGCATGCATGTATGAGGTTTGGTGGGTAACGAGATCCATGTAATGAAAATATGACGAGATGCAAGTGACTTGGACTGAGGAAGATCCTGGAGTATTTCAGACTTGAACATTTAAAGTAGAAGAGCCTGCTGGCTGGAAAGGCATTCAGTAATTTGTTTTCTTGATTTATGGCCGATAGGTTTCTTTGCTGCAGTTTCTCGTTTTCTCTGATAATAACACCATTTTTTAGTTTTATTTGATTTGTATTATGTATTTTTATTGTGTATTTTGTAAAAATAAATATAATGTATTTGTAATGTCGCAGGGTGAGCCCCATTCACCTAGCTATACAGTCCATTTCACAGTGATCTGGTAAAATGGTTGTGTTTCTTTCTGTTTTTTTTATTTTATATTTTTTTCTTCAGTTTTTATTTGTTTTTTTTTAGAAGTTCTCTACCTGTTTTGTGCACACTGACTCGTTTCTGCAGAATCTACCAGTACGTGTGGGCAGGTTGCTTCCGAAAGGGCATCCACGTGCATGCTGTGTTTTAAAATTTTAACCTGCCTGCAGTGGAATAATCTGGTGAATGGCAAATGGAAAAGCAACGCCCCTTCCTCAGGGAAGGGACGTGGGGACCTGCTACGGTTTAAATAGCAGTGTTGATAGGCATGCGGAGTCCTTAACCACAGGAGACAGCACTGAAACAATTTGTGTGTGTGTCCTTTCCTTTGTTCCTGTTTTGCTTGGGACCGTGACTGTCCTCAATGCTTTCCATTAATCTCTTCCCTGTCTTCAGCGTCTGTGGGCTATTTTACATGTGCTGCCTATATGTTCTTTATTATGTCTTAAAATCCTTTCCCCTAGGTGTGAAGGCTGAATTTCTGTAGTGACCCATGTTGGTCGTAGATGGCCTGTGTTCATACCCATGGGAGCTCTGCTACCATCCAGTGCCTGTACCCTTGAGGGATACTGCACCTCGCTTCTTCCTGCTGCTTTCCTTAGGGGGAACCCAACGGATTGAAGATTTCCCCCAGCAGCATAAAAAAAAAGAAAAAAAAACCAAGTCAGTCCTAGTTTCAAAATCCAGCTCTCTATCCAGCTGCTGCTCACGGGTTCATAGTGTGAATTAGGCAGTGCACTAAGATGAGCTGATGCACTCACTGAGCTGGTCTTCATGGGTGGAAGTGGCATTAAGAATTCAGTCAGACTGCAGTTAACGTGACTCCAAAATGATCACTGGGCCTGGAAAGCAGTTGTTTGCGGAAAGCATTTAATGTGAACAGGCTCATGTGGGTAGGATGGGGATGAGCAGCCTGAACGCATGAGTTTTATTCACAGCTCTGCCACTGATTGTTATTGAACAAACTGCTTACAGAGACAGCCTCAGGCCTGCATTAGTTGGATCTTGCACATAGCTTACGAAGTTACTAATCTTTTCCCTGCTAAATGAACTTTTCTTGATCAGTTTATAGAAGAGACTATATGGGGAAAAAAACCTAATTATTCAGTTCATTTATTTATCAAATTATTTATGTGTACTACATGATCTTAACCAGCACAGAATTAGTGATACGGGTGAACTTAATTCCACAGCTGCAAAACATGTATTGCCTCTGAGTGCTGAAAGTGATATTTCCTGTGAAGACTGCGCATTTCGAAAGGAGCCAGTGTGGTGGGCTCTGAGCACTTCCTATGCTATAAACAGACCCGATGAGTATCACTTTCAGTCTCAAAGGAATACCTTTCTAATTTCTAGGGGGAAGTAATACTATCTCTGGCATGATTCTCAGTTTTATACTCGCTGATAATGTCTCTTCGCACTTGGTTTTGACTTGCTTGTTAATGAGTGAGTGTGCTCGGTGCAGTGCATAGACATATAGAGGGCTATGAATGACTTCACAAGAATGTCACTCTAGGCAAGGTCACAGAAGTCCTTGCTTCTGTAAATTAGTGTGTTCTTCCCTTTTCTCTCTACCTAGCAATGGGCAGATGTAGGCTGACTGCTAAATGGGCAGAATGGTTTGTAACAAGGAGAACTACCGATTTGTGCCTAAGCTACCTTTGGTGCTGGAAGTTTGCTCAGGAACTGGGGGACAGAGGTTTCGATATTACATCTCGAGGGTTACCTGCCTCTCTGTCTGTGTCCAATTTGCACATGGTCCAACCTCTTTCTGAGCGCTGCTTCCGTTGTTGTGACAGAAGCCAGTGCAGGAAGCCCAGGTAATTGAATATGTTGGCTCAGTGGCTCATTTTTACAAGCTTATAAAAGAAAAAAAAATAAAAAAAAACTTTGTGTTTGGCATTTTGCCAGTCTGATTATATGGGCGGAGAAGCTGCCTGTGGAAACGAAAACAGCAAACCTGGGAATTTGGTTTGCACTGGGCTTGTATGTGAGTGCTGCTTGTTGTTATTTTTCGATACTGAGAAAATGAAATCTGATCCCCTTCTGATGTAGAGATAAAACTGTGGAGAAAGCAGGCAACTAATATAAGTTCGTTACTGTGACTCTGCCATGAATGAGAGTTTGAGAACTGTCAGGAACAATGAAGAGAAGTTTTGGAAGAAAGACCATCCTGCAAATTGAAAATGGCAAGTTCCATATGATAAAAGAAATCTCCTCTTTAAGGCATGTGCCATAGAGTGCTGAAATGTCTGATCACATGGCAGTTGCTGAACCAAACACTCAACTTTAAGATGAATTACAGTTGTTACAGGAAAGAAGACAAATCAGTGGAGACATTGTCAGAATTCAACTGTTCTTGGAGCATCTGAAAGACAGAGCTGGGTTATTTGGGCTGGTATCGTGAGTCTTTGTGTATTAAGGAGTGTTGGAGACCATCCAAGAAAAGAGGGCATAATAACTACAGAGCAAAAAGCAGAAGAAAGGAACTGTATCAGTGTGACTCTAGAAGGTGTCAGGGAGACCTGGCATTCAGAGACTATTTTATCTCTTCAGCTTTTATGGCATATCAGGCTTTTTTTTTTCCTCTCTCTAGTTATGGATTGTCCAGTTGAAGAAAATGCAACAGGTGTGTTGGCTGGTGCAAATACAAATAAATGGCCTTGACAGAGTTCTGTGTGCTCTGATCTGTTGGTTCCCAAGTTTTGCTCCAGACAAGTAATAGTTCAACAAGGTAGTTTTAAGTCATTTGCAAACAGTCTTCAGAACAATAAAATATGCAGTATTTTATTAACACAGTGTAAAGGTCAAAGGCTTTGCAGGATGCTAAGCACTGTGGTGAGTGCCAGAAGAAGGGTGCACACATTACAAGAGGTTGCAGGGTGGTAGAGCAGATCCCAGAGAACAGGATAGAGTTTTGGCGTCCTGAAGCAGAGTCCTTTGCTAACTCATACTGTTTCTGCTGCAAGAGGATTTCGTGGCCCAAAGTTACTTCTTCACAAAGCTCTCAGTCTGTCGTTTCACCGCTTGCTACACGTACTCATCCGGGCAGAAGTGCCTAGGCATGTAATTCATTCCCTGGAAGTGCCAGTTTCCCCACTCTGCCAAGCTATAGTCTCCTACCCTCCTCTTCTCCTCCCTGAAAGCTTCTCTTTTCTTTTTCATTCATCAGCTCTCTAACATGGCTACTTTTCTTCACTTTTATTTTCTTTTTTTTTCATTTGGTAAGACAGAGTTTAGGCAATGGGCTTTAAAGGCATCATCCAGGCACAGGTACAAAACATGGTGATAAGGGAGAGAATTGCCTGCTAAAGCGATAAAATGTTTTGTTTTGATCGTTTTATATCCCATCGCTACAGTTCAACTAACAAGAGGTTTCTGTCTTTGAAACTGTTCTTAAAGTTTTTGCCACACACTGTCATAATCACTAACAACTGCTTGGCTTTGAAGGTAATTCTGTTTATTTTCTGGTTCATGCTTCAGGAAAAATTAAAACTTGATGCTGAGAGGGAAAAACTAGAGAGGCTTCAGGAGCTTTACTCCGAGCAGAAGACGCAGCTTGATAATTGCCCCGAGTCCATGAGGGAACAATTACAGCAGCAGCTGAAGAGGGTCAGTAGCAAGTTTCAAGATTGCACTAACTTTGTTGTTAATTTTAGAGTTAAGTGTAACATATTCCATTTCACTTCTCCAACAAATTGCCTGAACAAACTTGCATTGTGTGTATGTATTAGTAGTGTTGAGGTTATCTTTTTGTGGAGCATTTGTAATAAATATTGTGCATGATGGCAAATGTACTCATGCAAATGGGTGGATTAGAAATAGTTTTGTGCTGAAAGTTGCAAAAGCTTTGGGCCGTTTGCCTGTAATTAGCACCCCTGGCCTAGTGGCTGATGTGAAAGCTGTTGGAATCATGTTGTTTGCATGCACCTTCGAGCATTGCTTTTAACTCTGTGAGCAAAGAACAACTATTCAGCTTCAGTTAGAGAGATGTGTTATTTTAGCACTCCCATTTTTCTTTGATACTGTTATGTGACCCTGTTTTGCAATGGTATAAGTTGCTCCCTCTCTGAACCATGCGTACCTTTTTCTTTTAATGCGTAACTTAGCTGCTGGCCTGAACTGTCTTGAAAATCTCATTCTGAAGATCATTTCACTTATTTTAACAGCTTTATTTTTCCTACATTCTTAACAACCGCACAAAAGTTTTTGTTTCAGCCCTTGCAAAGTTTAATTGCAGCTTGTCTTTATTATTTGTAGGCTAAAAACCTACAATATTTTGTGTTGCACGTTACAGCACAATCTTTCCTCAGAAAATAATGGTAAAGTGGTTTTGGTACTCATTAACATTAAGTAAGTTCTAAAACACATGTAACAAAAAAATCATTTGCAAGTGTTTATGCTGTAAGCACAAGATGACATCTGAAAGTCAAACCTGATTTTTTTTTTCTGGCTTGAGCATTTACATTGGTAGTGATATCTGTAACAGCAGTGACCAAACAAAAAAGACTTTTTGTCTTGCAGAAAATATTCTTCTAGATACTGACTTTTTTTTCTCTAATAATAATAGTTTGTCTTATTTGCAGGATTCCAGTTTTTTGTTCTTGTTTTTTTTTTTTTTAATTGGCAGAATTCTGTTTTGTTTTTGAAGGGAAAATAGTTTAAAAGTATTGGAGAGAATCATGTTAAGTACTTCTGAAGTAGCTGAATTATTTGCCGCTTTTGATACATTAGGAGATTTTCGTAAGTTACCCGACAAATATCAAGTATTTTGTAATATCTCGTGAGTATTAACAAGCAAACGAAGCCATTCCTGTGGTGCCGTGCATTTGAAGGGTTAATTCGTGAGAAGCTGCGGGATGGTGGTAAACCCTTTTTCACTACTGGTTGCCGCGAGGCTTCAAGCGGGCCTGGTGAGGAGCAGGTTGTACCTCAGGGCCTTGCTGCGGCCTTGCAGGCCCCGCCGGCAAGCGTCCCGCAGGCCTTTCCCAGTTTTCCTTTGTAATTTATGTGCGTATCCCTGACTGAGAGCTGCTTCCTGGTGCTCGCTAGGCAGGGAGAGCGCCTTGTCAGCAACTGGTGATACCCGGGAGCCGAGGAAGGCACTTAAGGGAAGCATTAAACTCTATGATGGCATGTGAAAACTCTATTAAAATGCCCTTCTTAGCTCTCCATGTGCTTGGGAAAGCACCCAAGCTTCTGCTTGTCCTTTGTTCTGTGCCTGGGTTTATTGAAATGTGCAGTAAATGAAGGATAAAAAATGATTCCTGCACAATTATGAAAAGAAACTGCCCACTGTTAGGAAATACCTCACTGTTGGATAAAATTGTTTTAGTTCTTACAGATGATGTCTGCCTGGAGGGCTCCCACCGTATCCTAAAAGAAGGGCTAGGTTCTCTCACTGAATTTGGTCCATTGCCACTGTAGAAATAATGGAGATGCTGGGCAAACTTGTGATTTGGAATCCAATATGAAAGCATTGTATTCAATGTTTTATAATAGAGTGCAATTAATAGAGTCCAATATTTCATGTTGAATGTTTTAGTAAAAGGTGAGGGGTACTTGCTATGTGGTTCAAGAAGCTGTTATCTGCTGTCAAACAATTAACCCTTCCAAGTAGGACCCAAGTCCTTGCCCAAGTAGGCAAGAGTCCCGTGACAAACCAGACCGTGTGTCCTTGCCACTCTGCTGTGATCCCACAGACTGCCAGCATCTAAGTCTCCACTGAGTCTAGGTGATTGATAGTCTTGCTGCAAGGCACTTAAGAGGCACAGATACAACTGAAACACTGCCACTTGCACCCTGGGGGCTTTGCTTTGAAAGGAGACTAGGTTTTGAACTTGATAAACTTTTTTTCAGGTGGACACATTAGTTCAGAATGTGATAAAATACTTGTTTCATAGTGTGTCTCACATATAAAGCTTCATTAAGTGAACTAGCCATCAGTTGTCTTTTGGACTGCATTTGTGTTGGTGAGTTGGATGAATGTGTTCACAAAGGAATTAGAAACAACCTGCTCTGAAGTTTGCTCCCCTCTGCCTCTGTAGCATTTGATTTGATATGAAATGCCCTGGGTTTACTGATCTTTGTGGCCTGGGCAAAGTCCTTCTTATTTATTCCCAATGCTGAACATTGCCTGGTAGTTTGAATGGAGCATTTCTGTGTTGTAGGTAACAGCTTCTTACGTCATTTTTAGTCACTGTCTTGTCTTCGCTTTTGATCTTCATATTATCTACCGGAAGTGAAAGGCACATCTTTGGAGAACGGTCCTGAAATGTTGATAGTTTCTACAATAACTTGGAGTATTCAGCTTTTGTATGTCTTTCTCTGTCTTTCCCAAGTCTTTCTCTGGTGCATAGGCAGCTTGCTTGGAGTGCTTTTGCAAGGAGCTATGTGCATGTTATCAGTTAGCAATGATCGTATCATTGCAGTGATGATATCTTATCTCACCTTAGCTGAGATAAGAAAAAAGATTAACTTTGCGTTTCTTGTCAGCTCTCTGGAACTTACAAAGAGGTGTTTGTGTTATGAATATACAGATATTGCAGGAGAAAGATGAGCTTTCGGTTCTTATGCTGAAAATCCCTGAAATCGTTTCTGGTTGTACATGTGGGCGAGGCAGAGGTGTTCCTATTTCTCGAGACCTCCCCGAAACATGCTCGGGCGATGGAAGTGATACGTAACTCCATGCGTGTCCCCTCCTGTATAGCCACGTCTCTGTTACTAAAAAGGCACAGTACTTGGGCTGGATTTGAAGGAATTGCTACCCTCGTTCCTTTCTCTGCATTTGAGGGTGTATCTCCGTAGTTCATTCAGTGTTACTGGAGTGATACTTTCTGCCCCGAGTGGCTGCTAAGCAGATGCTTCCCCAGTCTGGTGTGTGACAGCCTCACCAAAGTGACTCGGCCTGGCCAGGAGGCCTCAGTGCTTCAGAGGGTCCTGCGTGCTCCGCGCTCGGTAATAAACAACGTGCGCTCAGCACACGTGAGGAGGCGTTACAAGGAAGGGGGGCCCTAGGAGTGGAGGGAAAGCAGCATAAAAATAACGGTGAGCTCTGTTTGCTCTCTTATTGTAACCGTAGACGATGAGAAAAACATTGAGCTTCTGTCTGTTTTGAACAAGCTGTGTGGGAAACCAAAACACTGCCTTAAAATGCAAGCTTTCTGTTTGTTTATAAGTCACTCTCGTCTGGTCACAGTAAACACAGGATTACTTTTTCTTTTTGCTTAAGGATGCTGATCTGTTGGACATAGAAAGCAAACATTTTGAAGATTTGGAATTTCAGCAGCTTGAACACGAGAGCAGGTTAGATGAAGAAAAAGAAAATCTGACGCAACAGCTCCTGCGTGAAGTAGCTGAATATCAGCGTAGCATTGTCAGTAGAAAGGTAAAAGCTTGAATACTCGGTTCATTTTGTTGTTGTTGCTTTGCCTGAAGGAGATCTAGATCCAGGATCTACATCTAAGTGAATCTAGAACCTGCCCATCTCTAAGAAATAGTGCTGAACTTTTCTCTTTGGAAAAGCTTTTGCAGCAGAGCAAAGATGGTGGCTCAGTAACAACATCCGCAACGTACCAAATCGTGCAATTCTTTGGAAAGGAAATAAAACAATGAAATACATACAAACCCCATTTGCGTATGCAGTAAAAAGCTCTCATATTTGCAACAAAAAGTATCAAAGTGAAGTACCAAGCAAGGAGATTCTCATACTGTGGACATAATTACTGTTATTTCATGTTGTCATGATGATTTTGTTAAAAATAATGATAGATTAATAAAAAAAAATTTATAAAATCAATTGTAAAGGTCTGTTTCAACCAATTGCATACAAGTTGTGCTCAGAGATCAGAAGTGGCGTCTCTAAATCAGTTCCATTCAATATGTTAGTTGCCATATTATCAAAGAATATATGCAACCATCCTTTTCCAGTTGACCCTCAGAGAAATTGACATCTTACTATTTAAATGAATTTCATCATCTCCTTCAAAGCAGTGGACTGTCTTGTAACTTCTTTTCTTAGTACTTAGACTCTCATGAATGCAATCATTGCTGGAAGTTGTCCTGTGCTTTCAGAATTAAGCATCCTAAATGTGGTGGTTCTGCTTTTTATTTTAGGAAAAGATTTCTGCTCTCAAAAAGCAAGCCACTCATATTGTTCAACAAGCACAAAGAGAACAAGATCATTTTGTAAAAGAGAAAAATAACTTAATAATGATGCTGCAAAGGGTAAGTATTTTATGTCTTTCAAATATTTTGAACGTGTAATAAAAGTCTGCCTCCCTGTTAGCTGAACAGGGAGTCTCAACCCTCATGCTGGATTCTTACAGTTGTCAAAAAAAATCTATGAATGGGAAGATGCTAAATAAAATCTGGCTATTACAGTTAGGATTTAACAATATGACACTGCAATACTTGTAGTGAATTCAGCAAAAAAAAATGGAACTGGACCTAAAAAAGCTCACATTTTTGACTTGTAAAAGGCCATACTAAGCTACAAAATTACCTATTTACATCAATGAAAATCTGACTAAAAATAAGGGTTTTGTTTGTTTGTTTGTTTTTAATCATAAGGTGAGTTGTGTTTAATTCATTAAGAACCATTAGCATTTTCAAAACACTGGAAGCCTCTTCAACATTTGTTCCCAGTCTCAAACTGTGGAAGATGAGGATCTTGATTGCCAAGGGCACACTCCTGTAGGACAATTCAGACATCTCAGATACTACTTTTGAAAGGTCTTTTTTGAATCTAGTTCTATTATTTTGAATTTTGGGGAAGCGTCTTGTTGGAGACTGCTACAGGTTCAATTGTGCTGTGTAAGTGAATGCAGTTAGAATTCTGCTGTAAATTTTTATCTTTCTTTCTCAGAGTGTTTCTTTATTCTCATAAAATATGGACAGCATTTATTTCACTACATTGCTGCTGTTTTTAATATGAACTCTGTATCTGGTTTTAACAGGAAAAAGAGAATCTCTGTAATCTGGAAAAGAAATATTCTGCACTTTCCGGAGGAAAGGGATTTCCTGTCAGCCCCAATAGTCTAAAAGAGGTAAACAGGTTTCATTGCTTTTTATTTACTGTGTCTTAGCCTTAACTGTTAGGCGAAACTCTTACACAAAAATACTTCAGTATTTAGTGTCTAGTCACACACTTTTTGGAGATGATAAAATTACTTTGTAAAGATATAGAATTCCATAGTAGGGCAGTAGTAGTTTCTCTGATGTTTTCCCAGGTGTGACTATCCCTGGATAAATGACCATTTTCTACTGGGGGGATGGAAGAATATAATTTGCCCTAGATGGAAAAACGAACATTATGGAAATAAAGAAAAACAAGGTTCAGGAATAGCTCAGTGTTGAATACATTTCAGTTTTCTTTTTGCGCTATGCATGGTATCACTTGCCTCTCCTTTTTTTTTTTTTTTTTTAAGGATCTGCAGAAATGCATTACAAATGTAGATTGTGATATTTAGAAAAAGCATTGAGTTAAAGATCTCAAGCTACTGTAGTTGTATGATCACTATTGAGCTATTTTTTAACTGTTATGAATAGTGAGAATAAAGGTACCGTTTATTTTTGCTGGAAAAGTTTGCTTTTCCAGTTTTTGCTGGAAAAGTTGAGTTATTTGAGTATCAGAGTTTACCTGCATCTGTCGAGACATCTTAGCTTGAAGGTTGCCAGTTTAAACCCTCGCACTCAAATTTGTGAAGAATGTCAGTGTAAGGTAAGCCACGGACTGTTGTAAACATCCAATCAGTACATGTAATATTAAGTCTCCGTATTTACCCTTTTCGCCTGAGTTAATGAAGTTTTTAAGTTCACAGTGAAGTTGTAAATGGAGAATCAGGAAAAATTAGCATTTCCAATACCCTGACAGGTATGTCTCCTGCAAGCATGTGCCATCTCAGGGCCTGGGAAATGTGATCTTGCTCATTTGTCCCTGAACTAGGATGTCTTTCAAAACATGGTAATAGGATTGGGCGCTCTTCTGCCTGCAAATAGTGTTGCATGTGCTTAGACATACCCAGACTTTTAGTGCCCCAGGTTTTGCTCTGATGTGGGCATCTGACCTCCCATCAGGAGATCTGGCAAGGCTCAGCTTCACTTACACTCTTCTGAGATTAATCTGTTCATTTTTTTCACTGGAGAAGGGTGCCCTCTGATTTTTATCTTGGTATCCTCATAATCATTTGTTTAATCACAGATAATTCAAAATGCAACTACATTAAGTGAGCCTGAGAGACCTTTTTTTTCTATAGCTTATTCGACAGTGTCACTCGATTCACTGCAGTGAAATTGCTTAGGATGTACTTTAAGGTAAATGATAGAAGACACTCTGCATCTCCTTAAGCTCTCCCCAATATAGGAAATGGTTTTCTTTGCCAGCTGTTGTGTCTTGTCTCACTTCAGGTTAGTATGTGTCTGACTGTACTTCTGTTCAGAGACCTTTAAAAAATCTGTCCCGAACTGTTGCACAGGCTTAAACAGCCGTCATGTGCCCAGAAGAAAATTTCAGCATGCAGTTCCTGTATCAGCTGGGTTTAGCCTGTGCTCTCACATTGGCAGCCTGTCCTGAGGAAGCCTGCTCTCCCAGCTCTTTTCCACTCACCATGGAAGTTCACTCTCTGTCTGCAGAGCCACAGAGAGGAAGAAGCCATCATGGAGTAAAGCAGTAGGATGCTTACTCCAGAACTTAAATCAATGAGGCAAACCTATCCTGTTCTAAAAAGTTAGAGTCACCTTGGCATGAGCTAACGCCCAGTGAACTTTTCTGTTATTTTTGTTATGAGAATTAGATGGGGATTATAAGAGTTTTGTTTTTCATACAATGTTGAAAGTGCTTTTATCACCTATGGGAATGAATGCAAGATCACACAGCAACTGGTTCTTTCAATCCCAGTGAGTGAATTGTATGTTTATTCACCCTGGATTTTATCTTACTCCTAATATGGCCACATGTTTTGAGAGGAAGAGTCCAGTAGCTTTTACTCAGTCTCCCTCTCGTTGAATAAGCCACCAAGTTGTGTTTAAGATTTGTCTCCTGTTTCTAGAGTGCTGATTTCAGATAAGACCAAATCTTGGAAAAAAAAATGTGTAGGTGGCTTGAAATAACCAATAAAACACATTGAAAATATGCTCAGAAATAAAGGGTTCTTTGTTTTGTTTTGTTTTTTTAACTTACCTCCTTTGATCATAGCTAAATTTCTGTATTAAAAAAAAAAGGGGGAAAAAATACTGTAGCAATCTCTTGTACCTTCTGTGATCATTTAGTTGCCAAAAGCATACATACTCATGTGTCAGCATGCTGATACAGGCATGGAAGCATAACTGCTTTGGAGATGTTCCCAATTTAAAAGCTCTCTGTATAGGTTTGAAAATAGGCATATTTTATCACATTTTTATGATATTATTTCAAAAAGATTTTAATCTTCCTTCGAATAGTCTTTATGGCAGTGGATAAAGAGTTGGGACATTATTAGTAGTATTTTTTTTTACAATCTGATACCCTGTAGTCCATGGATTATAAGACATGGTCTATATTTTATTTTAATATTTAATAATAATATTTTATTTTTAAAATAAGAATTATTTGGTTAACACCAGGACACATACAGTCATTGTGTGAGAACCTGCTACTTAGGCAGAGGTGTGTTCTGATACCCGTGCCTTTTCCCAGTTTGTGACCTCCTGTATGCTTGCTTAAAAGAAAAGAAAAAAGGCAAAAAGTGAAACGGCTGTTCGTGGAGCTGACACTAACAGCATTCCCAATAACATCCGGAAGTTAGAAGCAACTTTCACACAATGCAAATGGAACATGACAATTTCTAGAGTAACAGTGGCATGACCTTGTGTAAATTCTTGTCCGTTCTGTTGGTTATTTGGCCTACTTAAACTGAGCGTAATACTTAGGCACAACGTATAGTGACGTAGATTACTTAAATAAGCCCAGAAAATGAAGAAGTAAAACAGTAGGTGAATAAAATTTATTCGTCCTTTCCCTCCCTCTGTTTTGCAGACAAAAGGCTACGTAACTTCTAAATGGTGTTACATGTTAATAAACTTTCTTGGTCACTTAATGTACATTTGCTTTTTCATGACGCAAATGTATTTGGAATTAAATGAAGAACAATTTTCAGAATCCAAATATTTGAAATGCAAAAAGCTTGCTCATTTTATTACGTGTATGTTGAAGTATTTTGATAATAATGAATATTTGGCTGTATCACTCTAAACTAACTTTCATCGTACTGGATACATTAATCCTCTTGCATGTCTTTTGGCTTTTGCTCCTTTTAACTTCTGAATTCCTCCTTTTAGGGTTTTATCAGTGTAAGTGAAATTAGTGAGCTGTATGGCAATTCCACGAGTATATCCCCTTCCTCCCAGACCCCCACAGATGCTGAAGCAGTTGCCACTGAGCCCTCCACGGCTGTGCTGACGAGCCAGCCACAAAATAAAGAGGTTTGTTTGGGAGACATTTCCCTTTGTTTGCATTGTTCTTTCATCACTGCCTTTTCTGTTTTTATTCTTCTTCTATTTTATTTTATATATTTTTTCGTAATTCAACATGTAGTAAGTTGGCCCTAAGGCTAACTGCCATCTGCCAGTTACTGAGTGAGGTAATGGTTTAATAGTAAAGCTGAAGGAATGCTCCAGCTTTCCTGAAGTGTCTTTGATGTTGGAGATGGGACTCTGAAGGCCAAAAGAACTAAGTGATAATGACCCAAGCAGCAATAAATGACATCTGTGCCTGTCAAACAGTAATATGTAATGCACCCTGTATATCTTGTATGTATACCTTGAATATTTGGGGGAGAGCAGTAGCTTTTACTTATTGTAGTTATTCCATGGAACCTGTCCAGTCTGTGTCTTCTAGCTTTTTCTTTCTCTTCCTTATTCTTTGTGACATTTTTGTCTTTGTAAAAACTATAAGGAATTTTTATTAAACCCATTTTTAAAAGAATGGAATATCTTTATGAATGTAAGCACACAGACCTTTGTGTTGCGAAAGGGCAGCAGCTGGTTTAGGATTTGGCACTTCTGTGCCGTTTCTGATGGTTACAAATGCTTGAAGAGTTCCAGTACAACAAATGTCCTTGCTTGCTAAATGCTCCAATAAACATAGTGCTAAGACTACAGCTTGTATGTGCCATAACTTTTGAGCAATTCCAAAAGGAAAACTCTGTGTGTAATTTCTCTTTTTTCTATAAAGCTAAGATCACCTCTCTGTTCTGGATTTGTGTTTCCTCACTCTCTTTCTCCTCGCTCTATTGCTCAACTTTCATCAGTCCATTGGCCTGAGGTCATGGCTACTCATGTAGATCCTATTCCTTTATCTGATACACCTCCTCCTCTGCCAGCTAAGAAACACCGCAGGCAACCACAGGTAACAGATTAAAAGCTGATGACTTGGGATGGGTTTTTTTTTGCTACCGTGGCCACAAAGTTCATTTACACGTGAATTTTTTAGGATGATATGATAGAGCGGATTAGTGGTTCATGCTTGCAGAATGCTACATGTAAACACACTGCTCATTCAAACATATAAAAATATTACAGTGTTATTGAATATACTTCTTATAATATATGAATATTCCAGAGGCAAATGCCAATACTTAAGAGCCATGGTAACTGTTGAAAGACTTAATAAAGAACAAGTGGCTACATTTGAAGTCCTAAGTTAATTTTTTCCTTTTACATTTGAACAATGTCTCTCAAAAGTTGGATTTGTTTTAAGCCACCAGTTCTTCTGAATAACCTGGGAAGAATTCTCTGTAATTGGATTTCAGTTGTGATCTAGACTTCTTGGTTTATTTATTTTATTTTTTAATAATTAGATACAAGGACATGTTTGCAAAATATGCACATGTATTTACTGAATGCTCTTAATCAGCTTTATAATATGAGATTTGTAGAAATTCTGGGTAACACTGTGATGCAGGAGATGCTATGTATTTTAAATATTGTCCTTTCCCATGAAGTTCTTAGGCTATGGCTTTCAATATATTCCATGTAGAGCGTAACTGAGCAAGTAGGTCAATTCATTTTGTCAAAACTGTTTAACAAATTACATTTTAAGCATTTCAGAAATCTGGAAGAGCTTTTGAAGAGCGGAAGAAGCAGCACAGAGAATGCATGTACATGAGTGATACTTTACCTCGCAAGAAAACAACTCCAGCTGTATCACCTCACTTCAATAGTGCTACTCTTGGACGAAGTATTGCATCTAAAGTAAGTAGTTGCATGCAATTAATACCTTCCCCATTTCCATATGAAAATCTGTATTACACTAGAGCACGTACAAAAATATACATAAGACCTTCCGTACTTCCAGCCTGTATTCTGACATATAGAAATGTGCTTTGACATTAATCCTAAACTCATGATTATTGTATCTGAAGGATTGTATTTCCAGGTTAATTTAAATTGATTCTCAATCTCAGCAGATTGTTTTACTTCTGTTGCCTTTAAATGGTAAAAAAAGATTGAGTAAAAAGTGAAAATTGTCATTATTTCCAATAAGTTAAATAAATAACAGCCAGATTATGAAATTACTTTGAAAGCATTTTGGTCAAATGGACCAACCAAATCTTCACGGCTGATTGATACAACATTGATATTCATGAAAAAGCTAGTTGTTTTGCCATCAGATTCTGGCACAGAAATGTCTGAAAGTGCTGTTTTAACCACATATTTACAAATGCTTTAGGGACATTTACCACTAGGACAGAGCAACAGCTGTGGCAGCGTGCTTCCTCACTGCTTGGCAACGATGACCAAAGAGTCGGAGTCAAGAAGGATGCACAAAGGTAAGACTTCCTTATTTGATGCATTTCTGCCAAAAGTCAGTGGTTATTTTTCTGAAAAATAAACCCCAAACTTGTGTGTCTACGTTCCACAGGCCTGTAAAACAATAGTTTTCCCTCCTAGTAAGAAAGCAAGTTCTATATTCCATTTGTAGGTAGCAGCAAAGTATGAGGTTAAGATTATGACACAGGCACATGCATATATATGAAGTACATGGTCATCAAATATATTCCAGTAGACAAGAAAAATATTCAGAAAAATACACATCGAGTCAACTGGGCAATTCCTATAAATATATACATATATATTTCACTTTTCCCTTTTGAATTACTTTTCTCCTGTCGTGATCTTAAAAATTGTTTTCATAGTATTTTAGTATTTTCATATATTTTCATTTATTTATTTTTCTGTCATCGTGAGTAAGAAAAGGCTAAGGGCCTAAGCAGGTAACTTGTCATAAGACTAAAAAAGAAGGAAAGGCCCCAAACCAAAACTGAATGGTAGGTTCACAAAGAGGAGGGGATAGAGGAGAGTGAAAGAGAAGTATCAGTGAGAGCGCTTGGCAGACTGTGTGTTATATGCCGAGAGGAATAACGTGTGCTCTACTGCTGCTATACTTGAAGTTAGCTATTCCTTTGAAGAAGCCAACAGTTTGAATAGAAATTATGAAGAGAGGCTATAGGGAATTTGATAGATTTGTAATAGAAAGGCAGAAAGTTCTAGCTGGGCTCTTTCCAAGCATCAGCTTTGTGAATGGGAATTACTGCTGCTGACAGGTGCTTTCCTTGAAATCTCACAGGATTACAAACTAAGGGATGCAGTCAAGACTCGGAGGATGTAGGAATACAGGGATTCTTTGTGCTTTCATCGCCTCCTTCAGTGAAGGGTTATTACCTTTCATGATCGAAAGAGAGCGCCCTGAATTTATTTCTGTGGGAGGAAGTTGAAGAGGTTGACTGCTTTTCTTTTAAATACTGTGTTTCTGGGCTGCGGAAAGACCTTTTATCTCAGGAACAAGCTTTTCTCCTTGATTGTGAAAAGAATATTTTCTTTAAAATAAAGAATATAATTTTTGTGGAACAGAAGAATTTGGAAAATGTTTTTAACACGGTCCATTTATTTAAACATACAACGCTTAATGAAATAGAATATTATTCCTCTGTTCAAATTCTGCAATTTTAGGTGGCTCCCTCTGAAATCAGTGGGATCTGGGTCATGAAACAAAGGGTAATTTCCTCAGACATCCCTACATGCATCACTTAAAAGAGACTAAGAGAAATCTCATGTAATTGGACATATTTTGTCAATGCTTGACCATTGCCCACCACCAGCATACTGACTTCATTTGGGTCTCTCTGATAAATACATTTATTAGATAATAAATACATTATTTCTTACCATAACAAACATCCTCATTCTTGAGAAAGATCAGCTAAGCCTTTTTGGAATGAATATTTTGAGCAAGCTAGATTTTCTACCGAATCAGCAGAACCACGCACCTTTATAGAAATTGCTTAGACTGAGTGATTCTGCCCATTTTTCTATCCCCCCTGAAACAGCTAATGAGGAGATCCCGAGTGATGGGGACGTGCCACGTGCACCGAGGCACTGCCTGCTCTCCCTGCCTTTCCTTCCCCGCGTGGCAGGTTTCCTTTCACTCCACCCGTTTCCCGTGCCCGTCGCGGGCGGCGGGGGCTCCCCCAGGCAGGCGCCGCGGCGCGCGGGAGCCTCCTCGTCTCGGTGACAGACGCCCTTCCATCCCTTCCCCTGGAGCCCTGGCCACAGCGCGGTGTCACACGGACTGCAGTACCACGAGGGTGATGGCTCTGCTCCACGGAGAGGCTCCTGAAGGGGTTGTAGAAGCTGAACTGCATTCCTCAGGGCCTGAACGCATTGGACAAGTCCCTAGGGTGGCAGCTGCAGTGTGTTTGTGTGAACCTGAAGAGCGTTTATCCAGCTGTGCCTGGAGAAAGGGGCAGCTCAGCTAATTGAAAGGTGTGCTCTGAGGATTACAAAATCATCAGTGCTGTAAAATGAATTTTCTTTAATTGCCCTTCTTCAGTCTTTCTTATTTTGGTCTGAGAAGGTAAATGTAACTCTGAGATAAGAAAATCAAAGTCAAAAATGAAGTCAGGGGAAAAAAAAACAACAACCACTTAAGTTTGAACATCCTGAACATGTTCCTGCACAAAAACAATGAAACAACGATACTAAAGTATAAGTAATGCCTATGAATAAATTTTAGGCCCGATCCAGTGGAGATTCAGTATGACGCGCTTTCATAAATTTGTTACTACTAGACAGTCTTTTTTTCTGGATTACCAAAGGTGAGTTTAATCAGACATGTGAGTTAGAACAATGTACTTTGAAAGTTCTTGCTAAAAATTGCCTGAGTAAAGAACAATTTATCAGTTGCTCAAGAGGATTTTATGTATATATTCAGGTCTTGTGTACACACATCTGATAGCAATGCAAGTGCAAAACAAAACAAAACAAAACAAAAAGATAAATGTTACTTGGTACAATCTGGAGACCAGACACTACACAGGTGGGATTTGGGGCTGTGGAGGAGCCCGTGCAGGCAGGAGTGAGGATTCCTTGTGCAGCCTAGTCCTGTGCACCATGGGCTGCTCTCCCAGAGGAAGAGGGAGATGGGGCTTGAGAGTTAAAAGATGAGACTAAGCACAACACTGGGAAGAACACGGTTTGGACAAACCGTTACATACCAGCAAGATGGTTATTTGTAATATTTGTCAACAGAGCTTTAGAAGTTCTGCTGAAAAATGACCTACTGAGAAATACATATGTAAAGACAAATTATAAGCTTTTACTGTATGATTTTTTTTGTTCTTTCTCTTATCAAACTCAGGAAAAGCCAGAAAAGGTATGAAAACATCCCTTTAACTGGCTGTCTCCATCTTTGTCATGTTTTGGCAAAAGTACTAACTGCATCAGCACTGTCAAGTAGCTCCAAAATTCTGTGAAAAAAATGAATATTGTAGCATAATGATAGCATTTCATAAATTCTTTTTTTTTCACGCTGTCAACTAACTGATCACAACAAAACTTCTGAATAATGTCAGTATCTCTAGAGCTACAGTTTTGTGCAGGCGTAATCTTTTGCTGCTTTGCTCGTAGCCAAACAAGTAGAGCAGAAAACTCAGAAATAAATCTTTGTGGATTTGCGGGTGACACTGACAAGGTAGACTTGGGTGTCCTCCTGGGGCATGTTTCCATACAAAAAATGTGTTTTGACATTTTAATAGCTGTGTTTGTTTAAAAAAAAAAAAGGAAAGAAAAGAAAATGGTGTACTGAGCTCTTTAAAGAACTCTTTAACATACTTGACGGTGCCACCTTTAACAACAGCTTTTAGCTATAGTTTTGACCTTGCTATTATTTTGTGGTGTCATATTTCTGTCTTATTTTAACTAATAGAATACAATGCAACAAAAAACATTATTTTAGCTCTTTTATCAGCTTGCACTTACCTTTTTGGCTTCTGGGAAACTTGTAGTGAAGTGCAAGATCTTACTCGGAACTTAGTATTTCTAACTGCCTGTTCTGTGAGTATGCCCCTAGCCTTCTGTAACTAACAGACAGTGCTGTGTGATGTGTAAGCCAGTCTGTAATGGAAGCAGCTGGCTGTGAGGCTTAACTGCTCTACTGTCTAGAAAGGGATGTTTCTTGAAACATATAGGTACATTTGCATGATTACATAAACTTAACTGACAGATTTTTGACTTAACTAATGGATTCTTTATCATCATGGAAAACTGTCATGAAAATGTTCGTATTTGTAAAACTGTCGTGTTTCTCTGTACCTTTTAGATGTTTTTTTCTGTGAATTACACAATATGAAAGTAAGATTTCTAAGTAGTCTAGATTTTGCAAAGGGCTCAGTAGGTAAGCCTTCATTTGAGTACAATTTCTTTCACTAATTTATCTTTTCTCTTTCTCCATAATGAATAATTGAAAACCATTTTTACAGGAGCAATTAGTCATTCCAAAGGTTCAAGTATGAAAGGTAATTGCATATCTGCAATTATAGCAGCATTTGCCATAATAATGGGAAAAAACAAATTGCACATGTAAATCAGTAACATCTGTGTTATGTGATGCTATTATCTGTGAATGCTAAAGTGTGCTCGTGTCCCTTTTGTCTCTTCTACTAATCAGTACAATTGAGCTTTTATTGAAATTTAATGTTCCTTCAAATGGCAAGGACAATTCTATCAGTTTCTTGGAGACCAGCTTTAATTGTCTATGAGAAGCCTTTGTGTCAGACAGAAGTGGAGTGGAGGGAAGAGGAAACTATTTGTCTGCCTTGGAAAATGTGTAGGGTATCACTTTCACAATAACAGGCTTTAATGATTCAGTCTTGAGTCATGCTCTTCAGACACCTTTTGGAGGAAATTACAGCATTTCAAAGGCAGAGCTGCAGTTGTTGGCTCCCTAAAACAGAATTCTCCAAAGTCTCAAGTGTCAGAGGAAATACCGCATCCTTGCACGTGCAAGATAGAGAATGAGACTAAGGCAGGAAAAGACTCATTTCAAGCAAGGTTCCCTAGCGTTATCTTAATGCTGTCTTCTAAGGAAAAAAAAAAAAAAAAAAAGAGTGTGGACTTGGTGGACATTTTTCCTGTGTTAGTTTGCTTAAATATCTGGAATGTCAGTGGCATGTTTCCTCTACGAGTGGGAGACTTCCAGTTTGTCTAACAGTCATTCTTAACCCCTGTTCTGCCACCAGCTCACTTTTCCGGTTAAGGTTGTGCACAGGGTGCTTGTCAGAGTATGAAAGCTGTGAGAAAATTTTATTTCTTGCATCAGTTCAAGAAAATGATGATCAGGGAAGCTATATTGGTCATCAGATAACTAAACAAACCTTACAAGTGCATTGTACAATCTTCTCAGCAGTTAAAATGTCAATGGTCGTTTAGCACAGGAACCTCTGTGAAGGCTCCTGCTTTATTTACAAAGAGCAGTGGAGACATTAGATTTAAAATCTCTCTTCAGAATTATTTTTAAAGGAGATGTAGTCAAACCAAATTTCCTGTATTCAAGGAAGGCTTTTAAAATACTTAATTCCAAATTAGCCATGTGATATAGTTGAATGCTTAACCTGACTTCTTGTCTGAAAGAAATATACTGGCGAACAAAGAACAGTTACAAAATTAAGGACTTTCTAGTTGTGTGACTCTGTTGTTAAACGCCTTGGTTTTATAGAAAAATAAAAAGCAGAAAACATAAATGCTCCATAATCCTTATTCTTCCTTACAGTCATTGAGCTACAGAGATCAGTTTCAATCATGTAGGGTGAATTGTGGTTTTAAAACTCTAGCAAAGTACCTCTAGGAAAGTAATTATGATAATGTGAAAAGTAGTCTATTTATTTCAGCAGAAACTAAAAGCCCAAAGGCAAATGCATCTACTCAAAGGCAAAATTTCCCCAAAAGCAATAAATAAATAAATAAATAAATAAATAAATACGCATTCACTAAAGCCAACCAAACAAGCACTTAATCCTTTGAATATCAGGACAATTCTTTATTCAAACAGTGATAATTGCTTTAGATCCCTGAATTACTTTGGAGATTTGGCCTAGTTTATGCATGTTAAATTTTCTCAGTTTGTATACCAGAACATATATTGCAAAGCCAGCCCTAGGAGTCTGAATAGATTGTAGATGCTGCGCCCATCAGAGATAGTATGAGTATGTGTAGGTTTTATTTCTGTTATGATTCCTTCCTGGAATTAAACGTAACACCGTAGTAGCGACCGGTACACGGAGCTGCTGCTCCGGGCGCTTGCACTGCTAACACTTGATGTGCAGCTCGTGGCATTGCCTGTGTGAAGTAAATGCCTCCTCCGTGCCCCGTAGGGTATAACCAGCAGCGCGTGTGCGAGGAGCACCGCCAGAAACCTCCCGAGTTCTACAGCAGAACCGCGTCCGAATCGAACGTGTATCTCAACAGCTTCCACTACCCAGACCGTAGTTACAAGGACCATGCCTTCGACACGCTCAGCTTAGACAGCTCTGACAGCATGGAGACAAGCATATCGGCATGCTCACCAGATAACATTTCCAGGTAAATATGTTTCATTTTTGACCTTGCAGTGATCATTAGTTTATAATACATACTTAAAAAAGGCGAATATCAGTGCTACATTTAATGTGATTGCTGCTAACAGGTTAAGAAAATATTATTTGGCGGCCATGTTTGTTACATTTATGTAGCCTTTCGTCAAGTTTAGCTGTCATCTTCTCTGTTGATTTAAAGATGGAAAATATAGGGAAGCCAAGTGACAGGTTCAAGGCTATACAGAAATCCATGTCAGTCCTGAACTGAAATTATTAAGTCGTTGATGGTCTTTTCAAACAGAGATAATGGCTGAGCTCCTTTCTCTGGCCACTACAGATTTCCAATGAGAGGAAATTTCTCAAAGCCATCCACGTGTGAAGAAGTATGCTTGTTCTGCATGTCCAGCATCTAACTTACTACTGAAACATTTTGGGGTCCTCTTGATGTTTTTTCTCCATTTCCACTCCCTTTTCTGGATCAGTAGATACAAAGCAATAATAAGGAAAACGGCCTTGAACCCCAGGCTGTGTTTCTGTCATCCTAGGAGACTGTCACCTCAGACACTAGATACAAAGAGTGTCTCGCTGGCCACCATGCTGTGCTCTATTCAGCACTTTATTCCTGTAAAAGGGTATCAGCTCACTCCCGCTTGGAGTCCTTAACATTGCAATGAAAAGCATCTTAGAAAACACCTGGGAAATTGATTTTGCTGGTTGTTTTTAAGTAGCAACATTAGGACTCATGCTCTGAGGATTTTTCTCCTTCACTAGATGGATATTTGGCTAGTTTCTGGCCTGAGCCAGGCTGGGAATTACACTCTTACCTTGGCAGTGATCTAACAGGGCAGTGCTGTCACATCTCAGTGCTCAGACCATTTTAGAGGAAGCTACTGTATGCTTGAAGTGTCCAGGAGCCATCCAGCCATCTTATAAAGGGAATTGTCAGCCTAGGGCTTGACAGCCCTGTCTGCTGTTACATTTCACTGGTGGCATTTGCCCATTTGTGTCTTTTTGGCTGTTCTGCAGGTTGGTTTAAAAAAAAATAAATTAAAGGACCTAACAGAATAGATACACTGCTTGCTCAGAAGGCCAAGTTAGTTGAGGAAAGAAAACAGGGCTTCAGCTGAAACTGTTGATAGTTCTTGGAAGATACACCATTTATTTTCCGTCTTTGACAAAGATTCTCATAATCAAAATGAATTCAGGTGGTTTTAGATGGTGTTTGAGCATCCTTTCTAGTAGTATCAGACCAGATAAAAAAAAACATGTTGCTTTTCTGCCACATTTAAACTATATGAAGTCATATTTTTACCTTGCATAAGGTAGATTTTTTTTTTGTATAAGGTAAGACTTAAGTTATAAGACATAAGTTATTTGACCCAGAATCTCTAGGCTGTTTGTCTCAACAAAACATATTAAGGCCCAATTTAGGTTCAGGCATCCAAGTCAGTGGCCTCATTTTGTGTGTTTTGTTCAGAGATAATAAGTTTTACCACTTTGATAGATCTCTGTTGGATTTTGCCAGCTCTGCAGGCTTGGTTTAAACCAGGTGTGTTATTTTGCGTTGCACTGTTTCTTTCTTGCCTCCAACACATAGTGGAGCTACTTCCACTCTGCCTTAGTCCCTTCAGAGCTGCTCTGTCTGCTGTTGAGGAGCCTGAATAAACCTGCCATTTGACACCTACTTCCACTGCAGTGGTCAGTTAGATTTCGGTGTAAGTCCAGGTCAATTTTCCATCCGCCCTGAACATTTGACCCCATTCAGTTTTGTAACAATTTTGTCTAATGAGATTGGATGGTAACAAAGCTGCTATTTCACATAAACTGTTCTTAATGAACAGCAAAAGATGAAAAATAAAATAAGAGAACATCATGAATATATAACTACTGAGATAAAATGAAGAAATTGTACTGGAAAAGAAGACACAAATTACTGCATGTTGGTTGCATATAAGACATCAGATATTGCCCCTTACGTGAGGAAGCAAGCATTTTGACAGAGCTTTTTCAGAATTGGAGTGTTAGCAGAGTATCCTAGAAAATGCTCCCTTTCCCAAATAGCTATCTTGTTACGAGATTAGGGATGAGATGGAAGCACCTTCTCAGAACATACAGAGAGTGACTTTTGCATTATGGAATGCATATCTGCTGAGGGACATGAATATGTACGCCACAGATTAAATTTCCAACAGATCATATGAACAGAAAACTGACTCTTTAGTGATGGGCTTATCTGGATTATTAGTTACAAGAGTGTTGCCTCAACAAGGGCAAATAATCTTTAAAAACAATGATGCTTTTGCTAGAGACAAAGCATCGTTGTGAATCAAAGAGCATAAAGGATGTTGTGTCCATCAGATATCCATGGTACTTTTAGGCATTTATAATTTCACATACAGGAGCAATTACTCATTACATTAAGTTGGAACAGGTGCTGCAGTAGGCATAGTAAATCAATGACATAAGAAATAGGTCAGCAATGTGTATAGTCTGCTCACAAAACCAGTGTGGTGATCTGGTGGCCTGCTGTGCCTAGAGACACTCGATAAACTGATTTCCCATCTGTGCATGTTAGGAGCCTGCTCTTCATGCCCCACCATGTGCAAGTACTTTTTACTCCAGAGCTTTTGAGTCCAAGGTACCAAAGTGATGCTGCCTTCAGTAAGCTGGAAGTGAAATGTCATCCAAAAACCTTTCTTTGCCAAGAATGAGCCAGAGAGCCTGGCAGGCAGTGCCAGCCGTGTTGCAGGAGGCTGGGATCTTGCGCTCTGTGTGATTACCCCGTTACCTTGTCCTGTCGGGTACTCTAACGGGTAGCTCCTTTCTGACACTGCTCTGCCCACGAGTGCCTTTTATGGATGTTTCCTAAACCCTCTTTATTTTTACCTAGCATTTCCTGATGATGACCTTGGTGGGACACAGAACAGAGACAGCCCATAGGCAGAAAGACTTTCAAGCATGTTTAGCTTACTAATGCCAGCCCTGAGAATCAGGAGTGTATTCTGTGGTAACTGCCTCCATGTTTTGTTATCTGAGGGAAGATGACAAATCACAGTGAACTGACACATGTTTTCAGGCACTTGAGTCTGCATTTTCACAACTCTGTATGGACAACATGAGAATTGAGAGTGTTATGTACTTTATACGTTATTTCTAACTAGTGCGTACTGCACTGACTTGCATCAGGACAAAATAGATTAAATTCTGAACTAGCGCTGGATTGTAACAATATGGCTTGGCATACCAACTACTGCTTTACATAACTCTGTGGGGTTTCTGTGTGTGTGCAGTGCAAGCACTTCAAATGTTGCAAGAATAGAAGAGATGGAGAGACTCCTGAAACAAGCCCATGCTGAAAAGACCAGGCTGCTTGAGACCAGGGTAAACAAATGATTTTATAATTAAAACTAAGAGCTAGCATGTTGGATAGATAATGCCCTCCTAAATAAACCATTAGGACCTATATAGTTAATGACTAACAGAGCTTTAAAAAATTGATTCTTTCTGTTTAGTTTCATTCTGTGTGCTTCTCATATTGCATCTTTGAGCTTTAACTGAGCAAAATTCCTGTTTGCAGCTAATCAGAATTGCTCCTATACCTGCTAGGAGAGTTGCTTATTAATAACGCGCCTTTCTGGAGCAGTAATATTTGCAATTGTGATTCCAATTCTCAGTCTACTTTGGATATATATTTCTGCCTACCTGAAGGCAAGAAGGCATTAAGGTCTAGCTAGGACTGAATTACATTATCAGCTATAATTACACGTAAAACTGAAATTCTTCATGTGTTGTGGTATTTAGGAACGGGAGATGGAAGCTAAAAAACGAGCTCTGGAAGAAGAGAAACGTCGCAGAGAGCAATTGGAGAAAAGACTGGAAGAAGAAACTAGCCAGAGGCAAAAATTAATTGAAAAGGAAGTTAAGATACGTGAGAAGCAAAGAGCACAGGTGAGATACATTGGCATGAGATGGTTTTAGTCTAAGACTTTCCTCTCGATACAGAAACAGGAGTGAATGTATTTCTGTCAATGATATGCCGAGCTATTTCCAGCTGAATAACTGTGCTCCTAAAAGTATGTTTGGGATCCTGGAGCCTCAGATAGATATCTATGTATTCATTTAAAGCTAAATAATAATATAGGTATCTATCTACTATCTTATATCTTAAGTATAAATATTAATCTTAGAATTAGAAGTATAGGTGGGACAGCACTTCAATCTGAACAACAGGAAAAAAAAGTGTGTTATAACCACTATAGGGGGATGTCTATTTGTATTTTCCCCCTTTTAATACATGTTCATTGTCATTTCCAAAATATTTGACTGGAAAAATAAAAGTGTGTGTGTGTGTGGGGGGGGGGTTGATGGTGGAGGTCACCTCCACATCTGCTCTAGGGAGAGAATAGCACTTTCCCCCATTTTAAGTGGGACTAATAAAATACCCTATCAGTGCTAATTGGCACATTTAGCCAAGAGACTGAGAGCTGAACTGGCAGGAAGGAGAAAAACACAACTCTTTGAACTGTGCTTTTTTTTTTTCTTTTTTTTGTGCAGTGAGATCCAGTTTCAAGATTATAGGTGTTTTTTGTTTGTTTGCTTGTTTGTTTGTTTTTCTTTCCAACACTTTCTGACACCAGAAATGTAAACTAGGGGAAGGAACTCCATCTTTGCACATGCCACAGCCAGTTCCAGCTTGTACAGTACAGGCTGCATAATTTTAGAAGGGTGCTACAAGTTCTTAGAGGCATCACAGCTCCCATGGCGTAAGGAGATGCTTGAGAATGCAAGGAGAGAAAGTCCCTTAGACTTGTGACTCACAGTGCTATTTAAAGGCTAACTTTAGGCATGGAGCAGGGACAGATTGGATTCTCCAGGTCACTGACTTCAATAGTCAGTGTAGAGGGAGGAAGAGAAAGAGAGAGATCCCTTTGACAGGGGACTCAGAGCACCTAAAGGAGGCTCCTGCCCTGACCCACCCTGCCATGTAGCCCCTGCCTGCACTGACTGCAGCAGGAGCCTCCAGGGACTTGTCTCCTGTGCTTAAAATGGGCTTTCCAGACTCTTCGGGCACAGAAAACGAGCATCCTGCTTCAGCTGGCAGAGCTCCTAAATGGCACTTTGCCCTATCCTGGCAGGATGCAGGATAGTCCTGAACATAGTTGGGAGCGAGGCCTGTTTCCTGCCTGCTTGGCTGTGTCTCATGCAGGGGGTTGCACTTCAGCTTGCCGATCATGACCACATTTAATTAGTTCAGAAGAATATTTGTGAAAATAGCTAGGGAGTATAGGGCACTCGCATTCTTCTTAACACTACTTTTTCTCTTAGTAAAAGCATGTTTTTGATCGTTTACTCTACTTTGCATTGAAATACCTGTCATACTGAAATGTTAATGACCTAGATATGTAGCCATTTCGCTGCACAGAGAGTGAACATCTTATATGGAGGTGTAAAGGGTTGATTTAACACAACTCAATTTGTCTAAAGCAATCACAGACCTTTCACGTGTAATTCCCACCTGTCATCTGGTCCCTGTTACACCAGTTTACCCAGCTAATGATTTCAGGACATTCCCATGCTCTCATCTCAGTTTTGTACAAGTATCAAGCACTGTGTCAAGATACATATTTTAAGGATTTCGAAGGAAACCAGGCATGCTGTGTAGAGCACTTCATTGTTATCTTCAGTGTTGGACTCTATGGGCAGTTTTCAGTTATGTCCTGGCAGCAGAAGGAGCATGAGAGAAAAGTTGACTTTTGCTTTAAAAAAAAAAATCTTTTTTTCTTTGCTTTCTTGCAGGCCCGTCCCTTGACTCGCTACTTGCCCATTAGAAAGGAAGACTTTGATCTGCGAAGTCACATTGAAACAGCTGGTCACAACATCGAGACCTGTTACCACATCTCCCTCACAGAGAAGACCTGCCGAGGCTTTCTGATTAAGATGGGAGGGAAAATTAAAACCTGGAAAAAACGGTGGTTTGTTTTTGACAGAAACAAGAGAACTTTTACTTATTATGCAGGTAAGTTGTTTTCCAGGATCACTACTAGGCTGTATATGTCCCTCTGTTTCCCCATCCAACTCAGCTGTGTTGCAAATATGGAGGAAATCCCAAGTAAAACTTGAAGCTGGTTTCTGTTGGAGCATTTTATGTATACACTCACAAACGATGCGGTCCCTTCCCTGTAGTGTTTAATTCTAGTAACAGGTAAGGCACCAATGAGCATAACTGACACAGGGAGAGAGTGGACAGGCAAGAGAAAAGAAGGAAGGTCGTCACGTTCCTGGTACACAGCATTAACAGCTCCACATAACTTACTCTTAAATATTGCCTACACCCCCCAGTGATAGGATGATTTCTTGTTGCCATCGTAAAGAGTATAATCTGTGGTATTTACTAAAAAAATTAAATTGAATTCTCTGCAGTTCCCTAACTTTATGTACTGAAAAGTCTTCCATGAAGTTAAATACATAGGAAAGGACTTAAAGAGTTTACGAGATAATGAGTGAGCAACATGAAATACTCTAAAAAGGTTTCTGTAGATTAAGTTGTCTTAATATGATATCTGGAGCTGTTATAAGCATTATAGTAATTTGCTATGTTAAATCGAAGTCAGAATTTTGGAACTTAAGAACTCTGGGACTTAAGTTCTCAAATCCCACGATTTGCTGTATAAGCCTACACTCAGATTGACTTTGAAGTTTTGGAGGAAGTCATAAAAATTACTATGGGCTCTAAATTTTTATTGTTTGGAGAGGTCAAACAGGGGCATACGTGGGATGGTAATTGCTAAGAAGAAAACATCTGGTATATTAAAAAGAAAAAAAAAATCAACCCACAATTCCATTTCCTTTTAGGACATTACTCCTTTTCAGCAAGTCATGAGGGACTTAAAATTGATAGTAATTATGCGTTGCTCAGTCAGTCTTTTTTAAAATACATCATCTGATTTCATTATGTATCCACTAAATATTTCTTGGTACTTTACAATAATACTGAGGGAAAATACGACAAACAGAAACTGTTCTTATTTTGTTCTTAACAGCTAGTTCATTGGTTAGCAAGGCCTGTAACATACAATAGTATTCCCATCTGGTACGGATCTTTTCCGTTTTTAAGTGGTTATGTTAACAATTTCCAGTTTCAGTTTTGAGTGCAGTTCAGTTGCCATAATGCAGTTTCAATTACCAAAAAAGCCCCTTTTTTAACGTCTCAAGGACTCTGGCCAACAAAGAAAGTTTCAGGAGAATCCTGTACCAGTTGAGCAAAAGTGCAGCTGTTTGTACAAGTGAGGATCTGTCTAGGTCTTCAAATATATTCTAGACTTCCAGAATAAATATTGATGCTGCAAATTCAGAATAAATGAACACTTCATGGGCATATAGGTGCATTGTTTAAATTCTGCAAGTGTAATGAACAAAGAATTTGTCCTGAAGCCTGAAAATTTAGTTTATCGACCAAAACATCTGCATTTCTGACCTGAAACACACATGAGCCTCCAGAAAGACCACTGCGATAGCAATTTGTGGGGTGCCTGAAATGTTGCTGTAACCCAAGGGCTTGAAAGGAGAGTGGATCACTGCTTGCTTGTGCTGTACAGACAGCATATTATGTGCAATAGTATTGTATGTAGCTGACTATAGTGAGTGCTGGGCAGTAATCTTACACCTCAGAGCTTCTTCTGGTTCCCTGGGGGCTGGCAGGGAGTCCCAACTGTGAATCATTGGGTTTCTGGGAGCCTTTTTTTTTTTTTTTCTTTTTACCATCAGCTGAAGCTTTGGAAATTGACTGCAGCTACTTATGGGATGTAAGCTGAGCTCTTGAGCGTTCAGAATGGCTGTGGAGTCTCTCAGGGCACTGATGGACACGCTCTGCTTAGCTCTGCAGTGTTAATGGAATAACTGGGAGGCAGGAGGCATTATATCTCCCACCGGCTGGCAAGGAGGAAGTTTGCCTGTTTGTGTCCTGTGCAGCTTTGATGTTTCTTAATTCCCTCTGGGATTATTTAACAAACTCTCTTTCATTGAAGGAGAAAGTAGGAGCCTGAAGATCTACTCTGTTTCCTTGCAGCACATTACAGCTGTGATTTTTAAGATGTTAAGTTTACAGTCTGTATCCTCCTTGCTTCTGCATTCACTAGCCAGTGCTGGGATAGAAGGCAAGCAGGCTGTAGGCGGGTGGTCTGCAGACCACATCTCTGCTGCAGGGTTAGCACATCGTATGTATGCCAATAATTTTTAACGTTTTCCTTTATAGATACAATGTACAAAAGTACTTGATCTTATCTGAATACCTTCTTTCCCAACTGGGTCTGCCAGATGACAGAAATCAATGCCAAAGGGGAGGCCATATGGAGGCTGTACAGCAAATCAACACTTTTATCTGTTTATTTTTAAAATCTCCCAATAAGAGCTGCATATGATGCAAAAGCTGTCTTGGATTCTTAGGGTGGGACTTAATATATTACCTCCCCTGAAGGTAAATATCTAAATTATTTAGAATTTACCCTTCAGCAGCGGCTGCTTAGAGAAAGCTATAGAAGCTTCTGCAGAAGCTTCCTCACAGTTAAATAATAAATTTATAAATTAGTTTGAGACTACAGATTTCTTATAAACAGGAAGGAGCTTTTCTAAACAAAAGCACTATCATTATTCTAAGCAAGGCTTTTACTATCAAATTGTATCTTAAATTCACTTTTCACAGCAGTTTTTCTATGCAGGACAACCATGGATCTGGCCCTGCTAGCTTTGCTGCAGCGCGTGAGCAGTACGTGAGGCCCGGCTGGTTTATGACGATGACCAGTCAGTAGGCTAAGCAGGCGGAGGGAATCCTTGCCCCATGAGAGATTTTGTGGATTTCTCTCTTCTACTCAGCTACCAGCAGAATTGGAAGAACTTAATATCTCAAACACATCTCTGCCTCTGTTAGCTAAAACTGGACAAAAGGTTCATATGCTTTAGTGAAGGCACTGACAAATAGGGAAAATGCAAAAGCCTTGGAAAGGCCTTTCCTTGGAAACCAAGCTGAAAGGAAGATAAGTTAAATGAAATAGGAAATATATGTTTTAACTCACCTGTCCTTCCAATCAGAGAGGCTGAAGGTTTCTGGTGCATTTCACAAGCATTTATATACACTGACAATTGTGGAAATGAAAATTACAGTTTTGCTAGTTGAAGTACTATGCTTATCTGCTTTCAAAAATCATTCTCTCTTTTCTCTTTTAGACAAACATGAAACTAAATTAAAAGGTGTAATATATTTTCAAGCTATTGAAGAAGTCTATTACGATCATCTAAAGAACGCATATAAGGTAATCTTTGTTACCGTTGTTTTAACGGAGCATCCTACGGCAGTACCCAAAATGCAGGAGCTTTTCTAAATACAGAGGGAGAACTGACAATGCAAATAACCCTGCTCATGAACAGGGTGGAGGAGAAGGAAGATGAAGCCAGAGCGCCGATAAGCATTAATCTTTTGTATTGGTGAAAAAAGAGAGAGAGGAGGAGAGAGTGTTCGTGCCAAGTGACAGTTCCACAGGGGATTTCCTTACCCCCACTCTTGGTTAGACCACTGAATTTGGTGGCTTTGGCAAATCAAGAAATGGCAGCATGTGTCTGTCACAGCGGGGGCGTTAGCGGGTGCCCACAGCTGATGGCACCACCTGGCCTCATAAGTATAATTTAGAAGGGCTGTGAGCTCCCTCAACTTCTCTTTTGCACCTGGCCTTGTTTCAAACAAAGTGCCTCTGGATGGGGGTACCTAGGGAATTTTTTGTTGCTTGGACATTAAGCAACTATCCGGAGCCCTTTATTGCTGTATCATATTCAAGAGTGGAAGTAAATCCTAAAAGAAGTGTGTGTTTATGCTGGGGACAAGCACTTTAAACACACCTCTCCCTCCAGGACTGCAGTGTCAGGTGCAGTGCTCAGCATTTTGCACTACATCATTCTCCTTAACCCTGTCCTAAATCTCCCTGTAAATAATTTTACTTATAGTGCAAATAATTTGGTTTCATTTCATTCCTTTGATGTCTGTCTGCCTTCTTTTTTTTTGTTTTAGAGTCCCAACCCACTACTCACTTTCAGTGTTAAGACCCATGACCGGATATACTACATGGTTGCTCCTACACCAGAAGCCATGAGGATATGGATGGATGTTATTGTTACTGGCGCAGAAGGCTACACTCACTTCATGTTGTAATCAAACGGGGCAATAGGGCAGATTGCAATAACCTAACATATGAAGTTAGCCATATCTAGCAAAATCCGAAAAGCCACATGCGTTATTGGTGAATGCTCAGAAATATCCTCCTTATGATGTGCACCCAAAACCACAGAATGAAAAGGTTTTATAAATGCACTGAAAAGGAGGACCTGTTACTTATTTTAGTTGACCTGTATAGGAGCAAAAGAGCTAACACTCTTCAGTCATAGTGCTCTGAAATGGATAACGGGACATTTTAAATGACAGCAAATGATAATTCTGTACAATTTCTCCTATACAGGAAATGTCTTCATAAGCTCATACTAAACAGTTTACAAATGTGTTTCTTCTCATCAGTATGCAAAAAATCTAGTAATGGAACAAAAACTATAATAGCATATATTTTAATATGCAGCATTTGACATTTATAGATGATTAGCTGACTTTTTAAAACTCTTTTAGTCAAGTATTTTATAATAAAAATAAAAAGCAACCCTAAGGTACACACACTTGCCTTAGTAGTTGAGTATTACAACAAAGCCAAAGAGTTATAAAATTCCCCTATCATAATGTTTTTTCAAATCGTTAGTTGTACTTTAGCTTTCTATAATGGGATGTGCCAAAACTCTTCCTGACTTTTAACATAAATAAATTGTTACAATATTCTATAGTTGCACCAACTGGGTATTTGAAGTTTGCATCTGTGGAGCTCAACAGCAACAACAGAAAAAGCGGCAGCTTTATAAGGAATTTTTTTCTTTTCCCATAAGGTGATATTAAAAAAAAAAAAAGAGAAAGAAAAAAACATGGAAACTTCTGATATTAGAAGGAAACTTTGTCATAGGGAAGATTGTCTTAATCTGCTTTGTTGCATTGATTGAGCTGGATCTTGCATCAATTTTTTTTTTTGATGTAGTCAGGTCCTAGTATGGTTCTAATCTTACTCTGTGCCAAGTGAACACTCTACTCCAATGTCTCAATACTGATCCCTGTGAAGTCAGTGCCAAAATATCTACCTATCTAGATTCATTAAAGCCAGGGTTTCAGTCCAGAGTATTTTTTAATGCACGTCTGCACAGAGTAATGTTGTCTAATAGAATACAAATAAAGAGGTGCGTTCTAAGAGTTTACACTAAGCAGTGTATTAACTAAGAAAAAATGCTCAAAAGTTTTGAGTAAATGAAATCTGAGGATACGGTGGACTCCAGTTTAAAACCACTTTCAAGTCCTTGGCTAATATAGCAAAAACGTATTTAATGGAACTGAATTTGAAGAAAGTCTCGTATATTATGACTTTAAAGAGGTCCCCATTCCAGTAATCGAGTTGTATGTGCTATGTGGTTTGTGTAATTGAAGAAAGCGCATTAGACGTTTTTCTGTAATGAAAAGTTAATGACTTTGATGGAGCAAATTGAAAACTGAAAGCAGAATAAAAATAGGCAGACAGAATATTTTTATTGTACTCTTAAGACCCTGTATCTGTAATGAACGGGTATGAATTATTTTTTGTGGTGTATACACAGGTCACGTGGTTGGTCTAGCATGACGTGCACCACTTCTTCTGACGTGAATCATGAACGAAGGGACAGTTGTGCAGATCACCATAAACAGCCTGTGATCTAATGGTTTTAAAGCACTATCAGAAATTAATTGCTTTGGTTTATATAATTATTATTGTTCCCTGGTATGTATCTTGATTTTACTTTTAAGTATGGTTATAAAGGTTTTCTAATCATGATTTTTGTATCCTGCATGATGCAATGAAGTCATTTCAATAAATGTTTTTAAAAACACACTTGCCTAGGCTATTCACCTTCGAATACTGCTGAAACTGCTGAATTCCAAGATTTTTGGTTTGCCCAGTCCTTTTGGTTGTGGCTCTGAGGGCAGGAATCATCAGGGCTGTCATCAGAGGAGCCCGTGCGGCTTTTGGCCCCTTCAGTACAGTTTCTACTGCCATTATATGCACATAGAGTAGGAGGGGTTTATAGTGGTGGAAATCAAGACAAAATCACACAACCCTTTTTTCCCCATACTCTGTTAAACCAGACCAGCAGGCCCCATCTTTCATGATCCAGACACCTCAGCAGCTGCGGTGCTTGGCCTGCTCTATCTGTAGCACAGGTCGGGCTGCTCCGTCTGTGAGGAGACACCCTTAGCGCTCTCCGCACCAGCTCCTGCTGATGCAACTTTGTTGCTCTTTGGGGACCTGCATGTACAAACTACAGTGTGTGAAGGTCTTTGAGCAAACCCGTGTTTTGACAAACTTGGCTTCATTTGCATGGTCAACTCTGAACTTCTGCAGAGCAGACGGAAATATACATATATATGTACTAGTTGCTTGCAGGGGCCAGTAGATGGGGAAGTTGCTAAGCGCCGGTGCTGTCACGAGGGTGACGAGGGAGCACGGGGCTCGAGAGCTCCTTCCTTGCCGAGCCAGGTAATGACGCATAAAAAAAGCACAGCGTGTTGTAACCCCGCACCCGGAGGCTGCCTGCCGCACTCTGTTTGTTTAGGCTGGGCTATACG